AAACCCAAGATGGTGTCTTCTTCGAATATCCTGACCTACATTTTCAAAACAATCATTATCAAGGAACTAATTGTTTGCGGGCAGTACTAGCAAGAGCTATTTCTAGTATTTACAACAATCAGTTTAGTATATATGTATGTAGATAGATTCATTTAATTTAGTTACGATAACCCCAGTTAAAGTCAACACGCGTCTTACTGATGCTCCTCTGACTCCGTGTTCTCTGCACGTTAAATAAGACTACATCGAAGCTCTGCTCGTCAACGGAGGGTCGTCACAGAGACACAAGTATGATAGGTAACGCCGCTCAACAAAAACTAGCGTTCCTATAGAGTTATGTAAAGAAATACAAAGGGGCCATACCCCCTGTCGTGTCAACAACGGGGGGCCATGCCTCCCCCCACTTTTTGCAGAGCTAAAGAAAAACTTTAAGCAAAAGTGGAAATAAATGTAGTATATGATTCTGTAAGTAACTTTGCCTAGTATTCTCTTAAATGTGTCCTCAGCTTTACCTTGGTTGCTATGTCTTTACCATAGAAGACATACATAAAATTGAATATGGGAATAAGATCGAAGAAATCGGTCATTGTCTAAGTTTTACAACGAGAACAGCTTGAGTTAGCAAATAGATCGAGAAGCCTGGTCCAGAATAACTTGGTGCCAGCACAAATTGACGGAGTTTCGTTTTTTCCATTGCCTTAATTTGGCACACAAGGTCTATTTGTTAGCGAAAACTTTCTCAGAAACATTATAAGAAGAGAGAAATCAGCTGTTGAAAGAAAATAAAACAGCTGGAAAGAACTTTTTTGAGGATATGAGAAATATAGTATGGATAGATTTGTTCTTAAAAAGTATTATCAAGAAAACTTCAGAGTTTGGTCGTTTGGATAGTCCATTCCTACTAAAGAAAGAGAAAAGATCGACGGAATTTTGAATTCTATTTAAACTCATTTTGACAAGCCCAGTTTGAAGGTTTTACAAACTTCTGTCAAAGCCTTTCCTAAGCCCTTTCAAGACTTTGATACTTTGGCCCCTCTACTTTCAAATACGTTTCGCCGGCCCTGTAATATATTGTCATGTAGTGTATTCATTGCACTGATCCCAAGTATAATATAGGTTTTCACTGGCAGTAAAATATACGCATAATTAATAAAACAGAAACCTATTAGTAAATTTCACCAAATGTAGATATAGTACTATGTATTATATTAAATAAAGTTAGGCTAGAAAATATATACAAGTATAGAGATAAAGAATTACATTATATTTATATTTATATTTATAATTATATTTATATTTATATTTATACCTCATTGTAGGATTGAGGTAAGCGGCAGGGAAACTCCAATCTATGCTCAGCCACTCGGAGAAGCACAGGAAGGTGTTTCCTGGGCCACCTATAATTGCTTTTAGAAGATGTAAGAACTTTAAGTATATTTTGGTCTGGGCTCAGTAATCGGGGACAAGGGGCCCATCACTTATCTGTCAGTTTTCAAGGTTGTTTTCATCATTTTATGCATTAGCTATTGAAAACGAATTTACAAAAGCACACACAGGGCCGCATTTACGTCTTTTTGGGCCCTGGACCCAAAGTTGATTGGGGCCCCTTAAAATATACCAAAACATTTGTGTCGCATACACAGTACTTGGCTAAACATAATCAACCAACTATAAGACACGAATGAACTTGTATCCATTTTGCATTTCGGTACATTCCCAATAAACTACCCAACTGCTGAAAACTTTTTGATGATTTTATTGGGGTTTAAAACTCCCAGAACATCAAAATCTGCTGCCATTAAACCGATTAAACATAAGGAAACAACGCGCTACTGTTACATTATGGACCTTAGCTCACACTCTTTTTATTTACCCTTTTCAGCATGGTGAAGCATTTTCGGAGAAACCTCTGTATGGCGAATTGAGCAACAAACTAAGTGCAGTCATTGCATTTGGGGGTAGCTCCAACCAGGACAAGCGAAAGTTTTAAAAGCTCTGGAGTAAAAACAAAATATGAGGCCCCCTGCGAGCAGAGCGATCTGAAAATTCTTGCGACCACGCCTTTTATTCCATTCTTAAAATGGAATCATTACTTTACGAGGGCCCCTAACTCCATTCAAACACAAGATTTAAAACAAGGGCATTTTAAAGGCTTTTAAAATTTTGCACTGGGCTTCCTAACTCGAAGAATTTTAGGGGGCCCGGGGGGCCGGGCCCAGTGGGCCCATGGCTAAATTCGTCCCTGAGCACACAGCTTCGAAAAGATCATCAAATAATTTAATCTGGTGCATTTTACACATGGGTTTACAAAAGCACATTTCATTGTTTACCAGAAATGCAGTGGGATGCAGGGGTATGAGCAAGCGGAGCGTTACTTCGCTCTGCTCCGCTCCGATAGCAATCCGGTATAGCATCAGTCGTGTAACTCTAGCATCAGTCGTGATTCAGGATACGAGGAATACAGGCGTGTCTTTTATTAGCGTATATGCCACAAATTGGTGACAGGAATTGCGACCAACATTATTCCGGAACGATTCAGATTCAATTCTGGCGAATTTTTTTCGTGGCTTCGACATTTTGAGCGCTGTGCTCAAGCCAGCTCGTGGAACGAGGAAATCCGTTTGTGCAAGTTTCCAGCTTTTTTCCAAGGACCTGCCGCATCTCATTTCGAATCGATGAACATTTGAGATCATAACGACGTTCCAAGAGTTGGTCGACGTTCTGAAGAGCTGTTTTGCCCCTTCAGTAAGCCGGGAACAATATTATCGAGAGGACCCCACCTTTTGGCGGCTGAATGATGCTCTCCACCTAGCTGAACCAGATTTATCTGCAGATGCATTTGATGCCCTTTTGCGACGACAATTCTTCAAAGGACAACCAAATGCTGTCAAGCTGAAACTCTTGCTAGGGTATCATCCTACCCCAGGATTGGACGGAATGTTGGCATTTTCGAAACGGTTTCGATCGCTTCAATTTTTGCCCTCCGGAAGTGCTTCATATGCTGCCACTGCCACCCCTGTGGTGCCTCCGCAGTTTCCTTTCGATGAGCCGCACATGTTGTTGACCCAAGTTGTTCGGTGAATCAACGAGGAGCAGTCAGACAGAGATTCGTTGTTTTGAGCCCCATGGAGTGGGCAACGTTAGACGGCACTGTCCATGCCGAATATATGCTGTAAAGGGACAGCGAAAATGCTCTCTGTGTTTCGGATGGGGACACAATGAAAGTGTCTATGCAAGTAACAAGGGCCGATTCACCAAGGAAGGTAAAGGGCCTAGGCCCTCTTCATTTCCTAGGCCATATGGATTATCAACAACTACATTCTCTAGGACCATTAGCATTATATTATCAGGTTTAACCTATCATATATGCCTTTGTTATTTTGATGACGTAATCATTTTTTCTGATACCATTGAACAACACTGTGAATGGCTAACATCTGTTTTACAATGATTTCGCGATAAACTGCTTGTCAAGGCCTCTAAATGCTCTTTTGATGCAGACCCGGTCATTTATTTAAGTCACTGTGTTGCATCTAAAATTAAGGCTGTGCAGGATTTACTCCCACCAACTGACCTGGACATGCTTAGATCATCCTTAGGTCTAGCAAGGTATTATAGGTGGTTCATCACTCAATTTGCAGCCATGGCAGCTCCTTTGACTTTCAAGTAAAAGAAAGGTATCCCTTTCAAGTAAACAGAACAGTATCATACCACTTTTGAAACTCTAAGAGCAGTCTTTTGTTCCGCTCTCATCCTGGCCTACCGTCAGTTTGATCAACCTTTTATTTTGCAAACAGATGCATCAAATTAGATGATAACTGTAATGAAATGATTGTATCTTCTGCCAGTCACACCCTGACCCCTAGAGAGCAAAAGTATTCCACCATGGAAAAAGAAGCCCTGGCTATTGTGTTTGCCGCTCAACACTTCAGTGTTTATCTTGTAGGCCATGCATTCCAATGCCCTTAAATGGCCCTTAAATGGTTGCATTCTGTAGAACCTAAGGGTCAAATAACCAGGTGGCTCAGGGAACTTTTGGTCATACCTGATAGTCTAATCCCTAATATTCACCAGAGTCTCCATTGTGGCCTATCTGGGGACATATGAACATTAGGTGTACTATATATAATGCAGTGTAAGAAATTATTTTTGGCTTAAAATGGTTTATTCTATTGCCAATTTTGTTCAAATTTGTCCAGCATGTAGCCAAGGAAAACATGATTTTAAACAGACAAGATCTTCTTTGAAATCATTCCAAGTCAGCAAGCCATTTGTTTTTTGGGCAATAGGTTATATGGGGCCTATCTCTGAAACTGTAAGGAGAAACAAACATATACTTGTCATGATAGACCATTTTGCCAAATGGTGTGATCATGGTAGACAGGAAAATTGTTGTGACAAACTAAGCAAGTGCCTGATCCAAATCAAACTTCAGAAAAGGTTATATATTGTTAATTGGTTGATTTTCCGAGATGGTTAAAAAGAAATTTTCTAGGAAATTATGTGATGGATGATGTCAATAGTCAGTCACCTTGAAATGCTTAAATAAATGTGCATAGCTTTGAAATACTCTGCCTATGACAAAAAAATAGTCAGTATTTATCTAGCTCATGAAGGTCTTTCATTTGATATATAAATTTTTTAATTTTGGCAATGTCAGCAATTTTTTTATGATGTCATCATTTGTTTTCATTGGCTTTCTCGATATACAGAGTGCATAGAGACTAAAAGTGATGGCCGTCCAGCATTTTGAATTCAATTTACACTTTGCTAACTTTGCATTTTGTTGCATCATTTACATTTTCTTCTTTCCCCACACATAATCAATTATACGCAAAGGATTTACCTATCAAATAAAAAAAAGCTACAAAGCAATGCTGTCTCTAAACTAAAGTTTGTATTGTAAATGCAAAAGGATATTTGTCTTTAAGGCCTGGTTCAAACGTCACGCTTCTCATGTGCTGAACCTAACTCGAGAATTAAGTACATGAGGGGCGCGACGTTTGAATCAATTTGGTACGGCAGATTTAGTTAGGAGCGGCAGACTAGTTTGGATCGGCAGAGCTTGCCGAGCTGCACGGTTCTAGCACGGCACGGTTTCAAGCCTCGAGCTTGTCATGTACCGAACTCAATGCATAATTATATTTAATTTATTCTCCTTCACAAAATTCATTTCTTTCTTGGAGGGCGCATGCGTTTCAAACAAATATTTGAGATTGCGTGCCTTAACCAAGATACTTCATGTAACAATCCTAAAACCCATTTGGCACGACATGATTAAGTTCGACGTTTGAAACGAGAGTCGCGCTAAACATGCTCAAGTGTCGCTCCAAACAGAGTTAGGTTCGGCACATGAGAAGTGCGACGTTTGAACCAGGCCTAAGGTATCCAGTCAATATCATCCATGTCAGAATCAGTGTTGCTGCTTGAAATATCAAAGAATATATAATCCATTTCACTCATGCTGTCTGTTGCTTCCACAGCCTTGTCAAGTAGCGATCATGATCCACCGGAGCCATCGGATCATGGTCCTTTGGAGTCGATAGTTCTCAACGATGGTATTTTTGCCTGGCTCTTTTCTTTTCTCTTTGTCAGCAAAGGCGGCAACTGTCTACCTAAATAAGAAACATTTAGCTTACAAAAATTGAATGTTGTTGGAAATAACTGACAAAATTGTTTCATGTAAAGAACAAATTCTGTATAGATACCTGTTAATCAAGTTGGAATGACCCCATTTTGTTTTAAGTTGGAACAGTTTTAAGTGCATATCTTAACCAGTAGTACACTTGGTAAAAAATGCTCAGTATAACTTTCTTGGCCGAATCGGGACCTGGTGGTAGCGTGAGAGGACTTAATTTTCATTGCTTGGTATAGCCATATTCTGGTTTGCACCAATGCCTCTTCATCTTTTCTGATGTATAGCACTGTCTGGATAAATTATATAACTTCGTCATGAGCTGCTTCTGTTATACTTGGAATTTTTCCAATTTAGTCCAGTAATGCAATTTTTGAGTTACCTTTCATCATTATTTTTATAACTTTGACCTTGCCGGCTCCAAAAAAGAAGGATATACTATCGCAGCCCATTATAGCATGGAACTGCGAAAGCCTAAGGGACAATTCCACGACCTTTCCAAATATCAATATATTTCTGAAGATCTATCAATCATTGGTTCGCTGGCTTGATGATGCTGAAGGCATACACAAGCAAACAGAAAACATCAGTGTCCCTGGAACAACAACAACATAAGTGTCTTCAAGGCAAGCTTGCAACACCATACGCGTATCAGCCTCCTCGTGGTTGCAATCGAAAAGCTCTATAACATCATCTCTAGAGATTTTCCATGTTTTCTCGTCATGAGTGAAAATTATGTTACCTTCCACTTCTTTTCTTCCATTTTCATGTCGAAGAAATGACCCTGTAATATTTATCAGATCGTTTTTTTCTATGCTGTTGAAAAAAGACTGCCAATCTTTTCCTTGTGCCATCTTCTGATCCCAACTTCTGATGTGAATTCTTTTATTAGGTTCTCTTCTTTTATACCTAGTAATTTTATACCTGGTACACCACTCTTGACGCTTTCAGCCTTATAGGTATAATTTTTTATTTCGATCGACACTGGATTAGGAAGAGACAATGTCCATTCATTGTATGTTTCTTTTGCTTTCAATGTGGCCATTCCGTAGATTATCCATTTGCAATTTGTTGGACTAGCACTCAGTGTTGTCTGCGATTCATCTATTAAGTAATTTCTGAGATGCCGCTTCTAAGCTAACGGGTTCTGAATGTTTGTCGATCCTGTTTCAAGACAGTTACCATACTTGGTAATTCGCTTTTTTAGACCGGTATCGAACATGACTTCTTTAATTGGATCGTTAAAATTCACTGTACCTTTCACTAACCTTTCTGTTACAAACTCTTTGTATTTCTTGTCTCCTATTATCGGTGAGTTGAGCAGTTCCTGGATGGCTTTGCTATCTCTTCCCCCGTTATGATGTTTCGTGCTGGTCCAGGAGCGAAAAGGTTCATAATGTAGGAATATAATTTTTCTTTTAAGTCGTGGACATGACTCACGAAAAAGCGCTTTGCTCCAGGTGTGATCTCTTTGTGGGTTGTAGATGTTGACATTTTAATTCTTTCTCTCAACTTGTTTTAGACTTGCGGATGAAGATGTTAAGTTAATACCCCTCGTATTGAGTGCTGTTACATTGGCATTGTAGCAAGATCAGTGTGGACAAGCAATTCGTTTTATTTCCCCGTTAAAACCTTCGGTAATTAGACCCCCGCGTGTATTTGAAAACTTTGCTCTATATAAACTGTCCTCAAAACCTTTTTTCTTTAGGTCGTAAAAAGCTGTGCTAGAGACGTGCTCGCACATGTTTTGGGGGAAATTAGTGAATTATAAGTATGTATACATTTAGTTGTTTGCGTATTAAGGAACCCAATTAGATACTTAGAGAAACAGTAAAAATAAGAGCCTCGTGGAAACAGACAATTAGGAACCATAAATACAAACAGCATCCATCTGAAACGTGCTCGAACAAAGAAAAAAAATGAAAAAGAATGAAAAAAGATTTAAAAAAATTTAAAAAATGAAAAAAAAATTATAAAAAAGATGAAAAAAATAAAAGAAAATTAAAAAATAAAAATAAAAAATGAAAAAAAGTGAAAAAATGAAAAAGATAAAAATTGTTAAAAATTAAAAAAAGAAAAAAAATTAAAAAATTAAAAAAAGGATGAAAAAAATAATGGATGTAATTGCACGAAATGCAGTTCCCAAGCTTATTCATCATTACTGCAAGATCCTTACTACCCGTTATTCTATGAAGAGTTATTCCCGACACAATTTGCTTTGCTGATTTATTTTGAGGGACAACCAAAGCCTTCCAGTCAGACGCTAAAGACTTTAGTTGCTATCGGCTGGAGCGCGTTTTCGCATAGCTGTATTCATTTATGGTAATGTTTCATCAACCGTAGCGTAGATGACATTAAAGAGTGCTTCCAGTGGTCCTCTATCAAGTCTATCGATCAGCTCTTCGGGCGTACAAGGCCATTCATTCACTTCTGCTTTCCTTTTTTCAATTTTTCTTTTCATCATTGGTTTAAAGGCATTGAATCATGATAAAATGGATTGGGTATACCCAAAGTGCCAAAATCCGCTGAGTCATGATTTTCATGACTGCGATGCTATTGGTTGACCTTAAACTGGTCACATGAACTCATCTCGGACTGATTAACAAAACAGTTTCCATCAATAGCAAGTTGTCAACAACGGATGCCAATATCACATGAAACAGCAGCGATCACGCCGAAGCCAAATGACCCCCTCAAGGGTCATGGTATTCGTTATCGCGAATACCATGACCCTTGAGTGTGGCAACAGTGTAATCACACGGATTCCTCTTTTTAAGTGTACTTGTATGGGGCAATACGTTTTCATATCCATTCTCTTCGCTTATGTTTTCTAGATCTTCCAGAAGATCAATCAAGAGATATCCATTCTCTTCTCTATTCATCTTCATCTTTATTTTACAAAAAAAATCGTTTAAGATTTTTGAAGCATTTTCTTGACCAATCGGTTCCTTTTCATTGGGGCGTTTTTTGGTTAACAGCAAATTTGAGGTAGCATTAGTTATGGTAATAAACATCAGCAGCAAAATATCGTGACATTCTCCGCTTACTATCATTTGCAATCTGTTTGCAGCTGCAAAGTATTTGCCATCTCTGTCTCTCAAGTACTCGTCTTTGCGCTTCTATAGTCTCTGTGCTGCTTTGTCCTCCGTGCACCTCCCAAAACCACCTTTTCTATACGAGTTTTGGTCGCAAACGCGTTTGTTAAAGCATACGAAACACAGCTTCTTTTCCGTCAAGTATTTACTAACTGATCTTCTTGAAACACCTTGTTCATCGGCAAATATATCCTCACCTGGATTGTATTCAGTGCCGTCATCTTCATTCCGCAATCTATATTTTAATGTTGCCTATTCAATTCTTTTTCCGAATGAAGTTTTGCAGCTAACATGGGCTTTTCCGAAAGCATTTTCTGTATCTTTAATGTTATAGAAAACCTTAGTAAAAGGGTACAGCTTTTAGTCGTTAGGTAAGTTCAATGCAGGCCATCTTTGAATATAGTGGACTTACTTTTATTTGTTAGCGAACATTGACAAAGTTAAGACTTTTCATCGTCGTCTTTCCGTAATGAAAGAAATGATTTTGAAAGTGCCATGACATGTTTTAAATCGTATACAGGAAAACCGATAGATCTGTTTGCGAATGCTGATCGAAATGAAATAGGCAAGTCAAGTTTCAGTCACAACGAAAACAGCAAAATCAGTTTTCAACACAGCCTGCATCCGGTCTTTTCAATCACCACCACATTGCAATTATCTTAACACTGTCACTGTGCACTCTGACTCTGTAAATGCACTCTGTAATTCGAAGAAGCCAATGGAAAAAATGATGAAGTCATCAAAAATTGCTTTAATCGGCAAAATTAAATTTTATCAAATGAAAGAGCTTCACGGGCTGGATAAATATCGACTACTTTTATTGTCTTCTTCTCCTGCAGCTTCACCCATCTCTTTATGGGGTCACTGTTCCTGGAGAGTCTCTTCCATTTTTCTCTATCTCCTACTTGGTGCACATTGAGGTTCTTTTCCCGCATATCTTCTTTAAGTCTGTCTTTCCATCTAAATTTAGGTCTTCCTCTTCTTCTGTATCCTGGAATTTTCAACATCACTCTTCTTCCAACATATTCCTCCTCTCTTCTCATCACATGACCATACCAATTCAGTCTGCTTTCTTGCATCTTCGAGCTTATTTCGGCTACCTTCACTGTTTTTCGTATCATCTCATTCCTGATTTTTTCTCTTCTCGTGACTCCACACATCTAGCGTAACATCCTCATCTCTGCAACATTCATCTTCTTCTCCTATGCCTTCTTCACTGCCCAGGCTTCACTGCCCATCGTCATACTTTTATTGTCATGGGCAGAATGTTTCCGTCATATCACGTCATCCATCAGGTGATTCCCTGGCAAGAATTTTTTGAGCCCATCTCAGAAAATCATCCAATTACCAACATACAGCCATATTTTGAAGTCAGTTTTGGTATTAGGCACTTGCTTAGTTTGTCACAACAATTTCCCTATCATGGGGGTTAAGAAGTCACGTACAACAGCCTATTAGCCGCAGGGTGACGGTTTGGGTGAAAGGCAAAATCGCACCCTGCTCCTTACGAGTTGGTTTTTGGGCATCCAGGACGTATGTCCATCGAAGTTTAGTTAAGTGTGCCTCTGCAGAATCCATCCAGTCAATCTGATTATAGTCAGTCCTTACGCAAGGCTATTTAGAATGCCGATCAGATAGCTCAGACTTCGAAGTAGCTAGATCTAGACAAAGTATACATTATAACAACAGGATTCTCAAAAAATGGCAAACCTTTGATATAGGACAAACGGTTTCGTTTTGGCGCCCCAAAAGCTGGAAGTTTGGAAGGAAATAATGAGTTTGGCCATATCAAATCTGCTCTCGACATGGGGTTAAGTATAACATCAGGTCAAGCGATGGCAAATTTCTTGCAGTCCACCACAATCAACTCAAGGCTTGCCCTTCGCCCCTGGACCAGGGTCTACCATTCCATCCAGTCCCTGAAACCCCAGGGATAATTCCTAAGGAGGGTTTTCCGGTGGTCTAGCATGAAGAGATGCAAGGTGTTTTTCTAAGGGGGTACTTCCCGACCACCTCACCTTCTTCAGGTCATTAACCCAAAAAAGTTTTGGAGAGGTTCCTGCACATTAACACCGATCAACCTTTGCTACAGTCAACATTGTAAGGGAGGGGAGGTGCAATGTATCTAGCCTGTAATCAATCTATATGTCATCATCTCTGTATCATGCTTGTAATGTATTGCTGTCACTATTCTGTGTACCCTGTTGTTGTTTAGCTTGTTGATTGATTTGTGTATGATAAGTAAATATAACTAAGAATAAAAGTCAGTCGTGATTCAGAATATGAGGAATACAGACGTACAAACCAGTGTCTTTTATTAGCGTATATGCTACATTTTGTTCTTTCAACTGACAGGACTCCGTTCAAAAGCAAACGAAGAAAACAATGCTCTTAGGTCCTTGTATCCAGGACAGCGGCTGCGTGCAGACACTGCGTTCGATAGATGAAGGTGGAAGGCAAAAAATCGTTCCTTTGCATTCAAATTTGGAGAAGTTCCCGCCCCTTTTATCATTACGCACGCTATACTGCTAATGAAACATCAGGTATCTAACTTAGTTTTCTCCTCTACACGCCGACACTCCAAACCGTTTATTCACCCTATTCATCTTCAGGTAGTTTTCCAATCATTCCAAACCATTCACGGTAAAGGAACTGAAATGCGCGCGTGGGAGGCCTGGAGATGAGGTAGAGATGTGTGACGCAAAAGACCCGAACATATCAACTTGCACAGTCATTCACTGGGATTGGACTGATAATGATAAAGTAGCTTGGTAATGACAGGACGAGTTTTTCTATTTCACTTGAGCGAAAAACATTCTGTTTTTTATAACAAATGCACTTATGAATATGGAGAGAATTCTTCCAATTCATGAGCAGAAATAAAGGCAACGTACGAACCATGTCAGTGATGTGCTTTGCTTGGATCATTTTGAGCTTGGTTTAAAACTTTTCACATTTTTTTGACCGTTGACAATAAGTCCAAATAATCTAGGTTAAAATATATGAACTGTGCGATTTGGGCCAGAATTTTCGTTGAATGAATGCTCGACGGATATTGACAGAGCATAAGAAGTTTATTCCTTGGACTTTTAAAGAAATTTCCCAGTTGATAAATTTACGATGAGGCATCCGCAATAAGACATTTTGGTTTCTTGAATGGCGGCAATTTCGTATTCGATGTCGCGCTAGACTTTCCCAAAGTCTATTTTTTGTTAACTCCGTAATGCATTTGTATTTCGTGATGGCATATCTTAACTGCGGAGGAGACGCTCAAAATGCAATGATGTGCTCAAAAGCTCCATGGTAAATGTCAGCAACAGACAAAAGAGAAAAACTGACAATAAATTATGAATAGATTTCATGTGAAAGCCACATCTTTATAATACAAGTGATTTCTCTTACAAAGGTAAGAAAAATAGAAAATTGCGACGCCTTAAAACAGGTCAGTGCTAAAATTGAGAAGTTGCCTGTGTGGAAGAAATCATCTCGGTTTCAGTATGAGGTAACTGCTGTTGCCAGTAAGCTCTTATTTCAGCGAGCTCAAACCAAAGTCGATCAGCGCAAAATCCATCAGCGCATTTATTACGTATCATTAACATTTTGGTTTGCTACAACAACTCAAAATCAAAATCTATTCGTTACGTCATACTGAAATCAAAGACGATATTCGCTCCCACTCGAGCCATTAAAACGATCTCTTGATAAAAATGTTGGATCAAATACAAATTACGGGTGATGATATAATTAATACTTTCATAGAAACTGCAATCCCGGTTTTATCAGGTGAATTGTAAAAATACTAAACGCATCAAAGAGGAATCGATTTAAAACAATCATTTAACTGCTCAAACAAAGCAAATCTTAGGTATAACCTACTTTCAGACGTCATAACATCTTTTAACAATTGCCATTAACAAACATTGAAATCAGAGTCTGGAAAGTTGCTGAAATTCGTTTACCGCACCCATATCACGCCCTGATCTCACTGTTTTGATTGTGAAGTTGTTAAAAGTGTTCACTCGTAGGCCAGGGGAGGCTGGATGAACTCTCTTTAACACTATGATCAAAACTATCTTTTATAGTACCCAGAAAAACGAACTGAATATTTGGTTCTGAAATAATGTTGTCAAATGGCAATGCTTTTCATTCAGAGCAACAAATTCATGTAGGTGTAAGCAAATTCTTGTTAAAGTCAAGTACAATTGCTAGTTTCCGTTTTCGACCATCGACCGGTGGTTGAGTCATCCCACTCCATAAACTTAACGAGCATGCGCAATGACCTGAACTCACTACCACGCAAGATAAACAATTTTCAGAGTCGAATTTTTGGAGACAGAAGACCGTTTAGCAAATCAAATAAATGACTTGCTAGGACATTTATTCATTGAAAATATTTTGGGACAAGAAAGGGTCTTACAACAGAGCCTAATCTCGCCCATTCCTCAAAATAAATTTGCTGCTCTTGAGTTTACGTCAAAACTCTGTTCAACAGAATTCTAAAACCTTAACAAGTAGCAAAATAAAATTGCTGCACTTCTCAATCAAACGAGAAAGTAGTACGATGGTCGATAGCCACAATTATTTTGGCCGAATCAATCCAAAAGTGCTGCAGATATCTGAAAGACAATTACACTTAAGTATCATACCTTAAATTTTTGAATAAATTTCATAAATTCTGTTATTTGCCAATGTTGGTTTAACAAGCCTAAATTGAGCCGTGATTAAAGAATTCTTTTTGTGATCCTTTGTAAGTGTAAAAGTGCAATTAGGCTAACTATTTCTGCAGCACTTTTAGCTAATTTCCCAGCCTAGCTGTAATTATTGAAGGCTAAATTAACAAGCCTACCTAATACAATAATTATCTTCAATTCATTCATACAAAATATTCAAAATTTTACAATCCACAAAATTCATTATTAATAAATTCCTTCAAATATCTTTATCACTCGCGAGCACCATACGATCATCTTTGATTGAAACGATTCATGCATTTTCTAGCTGCTTGCCAAATATTTAATAAAAACAGACCCATGGGTCGCCCAAACAACAATTCATGGCACCCGTGGAAACATTACAAAGCAATTTAGTAAAACATTAACATGGTTGCGTTTAGTCTAGAAAGTAGCATTGCCAAAATATTCTAGATTTGCATGCAACGTTGCTGATTTTGCAACCAGCCAAAAATCGCCAAGCAGTAGAGAATGCATGATTAAAATATCAAAAATAAAAAAAATATCCTTTCTCTTTACGCCAACATAAATAGCAAATCTTTCTTAATAAAGCCCAAATCAACGACGACTACGCTTTTGACATTTCGTGGAACAAACTGAGTTTGGCGTAATTCTTTTCACAACAATGAATATAAAAGAAGAACAAAGCAGAAGCCCCAGTGCCTCATGTTAATCACACCAAAATGAGACAAATATTTGTGCACGGTCGACACAATCACGCAGTCACAAAACTTTTCAACTGAGTTGTATTCACGATTTTAAGAATTCTGTTATCATTTTCAGGACAGATTTTAGCTATAATAATTTCATAAAGTGGGGTTGACTTCACGAGACATTTATGCGGTGTTTGATGAGGGTCTGAGGCTTGCCTTGTGGGTATGCATTGAACTTTAGGTGGTGATATGTGGTAGCCTAACGATAATAAAACTAAAAACAAAACACAGCTCTATTGAAACAGGTTTCACCTGCTTGAGGCTTCATATATCTTCTTTGAAAACATACCATATCTGCAAAGACAATTTTAACATTTAAATTCATTTAAATTCGTAAAATCAAGCCAGACCTCGTTATCCTAACGCTTTGATATTTTTTCCAAAGTTTCGTTCATTTACCTTCAATATTGCAAAGAACCTATTTCCATTTCAAAGACTGTATTACATCCTGATAATATCACAAAACCATTTTGTTGACCAGGGACAAGCCATTTAATTTGCCAATGGGCAATAAACTAGACTAAGTTGTAGTCGCAGACTGAAGCTAAAAGGCTGGCCGAAGTTATGCTCGATAGTACAAATAATAATTCTGAAAAAGATTTGAATTACGCAAACGGACGGACACAGACAAGCTTTCACCGAACGTCCTTAGAGTTTAAAAATAGCTTACGTTTTCAAATTAAAGCAATGCGTTGTACGGAGTGTGCGATGTACGTCACTAAATCCCCTGCTTCATACAAGAGGCCAGTCAGGGAAAGGCAAGTAGCTGGATGTTGCCCGCGGAAAGGGGACATTCAATGCCCCTCATTTCATTAATTATACTTGTATCAATCTCGCTAGTATTTTATTTTCTAAACTTTTTTAAACTTTTCTGCATCTCACCTTTATCGAAATAATAACTACATGTATTGATAACACGTCTTTGAAATCCATGTATACATACACAGTATTGTTAAAACACCTAGGCAAGGTACGTTAAAAAGACATGGCAGAAAAAACGCTGCTAGGATATTAGTAGAGCGAAGCGATCTTCTTTTCATAATTCTTATGAAGCGAGACAATACATAGAAGCAACTGACCTTTATCAGTGATTAGTCGCCTTCACTTTCTGACTCTGGCACGGTTTGGTTCCTTGCTTGTTGGGGGCTTGATGCATTAGATGCAGGAGAGTGTCTGTTGTTAGGGAAAAGGTCCTTGTTATACTTATGGGCTTGTTATCAACATGAGATTGTTATACACAGTCTTTCTTGAGCAACAGATTAAAAAGACAGGAATGATTTGCCCAGCTTTAAGTAGCATCAAACACACCGATTATGATTCAAACCACCAACATGGCCTAAGTGCATCGGCCTAAGCATGGCCTAAGTGAATCGGCCTAAGCGCAGTTTTCTGTGTTTGTTTGATGTCTGATCTGCAGAAACACCGAATCGTTTTGTGTTCTTCAACAGGAGATACTTAAATACTTAAAAATAAACGCAGACACGGAAAGGGAGGAAAATAAAGCCCATAGTTGATCGGGTAAAAAAGGTATCTGAAGAATATGACAAAAAAATTATTTGCAAGTCCATTCATATGTTTCTTGGTCCTTCAAAATTTTTTGACGTATCTTCTTTTTAAAAACAGACTTGGGCCTAGAAAATGATTGTTAGAAAAAAGCTATCTGAACCACTTGTGAAACAAAAAACTTACGACTGGCCTTCTAAGCTTTGTGACTCAGCGTTTGGTTCCAGTAGTGCTTGAACTTTCAATAAAATCTCGAACACTTGCAGGTTTGGAGTCTAAAAAGTGAAATTTATATCAAATGATGAAAACAGACAATGAAAGCATCGAGCTTGGAATAAGGGGGCTAAATGGGTTTTATAACAGGAGTTATTAGACAGTACCACGTGCCAAAAGACCATACGATTACATTACATTTCGAAACTATACTATGCATTGTATAGTTGAATGCAAAGCTTCTGGTTCCCAAAGATAGTATACCATGTATAGTAAACTGGTGATTGAACTTACTGGTATAGTTGTTCTCAAGAAGGTATCTATTACACAGAAGACTATGTGGTAACATATCTACGTGGTTATACGAGTTAGTTGGTTATCCAGATAAATGTAAAAGCCCGCTGAATTGTTGAATCACGTACCGTCAAAGTGTAGGTCTCCACACTGCTGCCACCTCTTTTTCGCTTTGAACTAACTTGAACACTTTGTGAACCTTGCAAAAATGAAAACAAAAGTCAGAAATTTTCTACAATGCACGAAAAAGAAAAATGCATCAAAATAGCTCGTTGGCGTCTCAAATGCCTTTCCTCAAATGGAACTCCATATTGCCATTTGTTAACAAAACATAGCGATCATTGACGATTCTCTCTATATTCGTAAGGGGATCTTGCAATATGGTTTCTAAAAGGTACACACCGTTATCTAGAGAATAAATTTTTCACCCAAGTCCATTAAGATTAATTGTTGAAAACATGTAGGCAGACATCTTATTACTGAAATTTGATATTTAAAATGGCACCCTTTTTGTGGCTCATTTCAGGCAGAAAATCCCCTCCGGTTTTAGCATTGAAAAAAGTGGTCAGTTTCAAGCTTCTGTTGACCATCGCTGAAATAACCCAATATTTGTAAGCTCGCCTTCCAACAATAAAAGTCTTAGCTTTAGAAAGACTCACAAATAACTCAACTTATAAATATAATCTTTAATTTAAGCTGGTATATATGTTAAGCTGAAACAAAATGTCAGAAAAACACAAAAATCGCTATTATGAGCAATCAGACATAACGTATGCTAATTGTGTAACAGATTTTAAAGTTTTTTACTCTGCATCTCTTGATACCTGAATTATCTGAAGACACTGTTGACAAACGTCGGACTAAAACTGCAGTAGTTTTCTGGAAATTAAAATAACATATTTTGTTGAAAAAAAATGGCTGGTCCACAAAAAACTCTACTCACTGCGTCTTTTTCTTTGCCCGCCAGACTGGTTCTGTTCCTCATTTTGCCTGTCTCTCCCTGGGCAAGCACAAACCCTGACTTCTATAACCTGACGACCCAAAACTCGATTCCTTCAAAGGGAAAATATTGTATAAACCAACATGCAATGAGGGTATGCTAAAGAGGATTTTCTGTCTATCAAAACGTTCTTAAAATTGAGTGACACAGGGCATTCATTCCGCAAGAAAGCTATCGATAGGAACCATCACTTTGTAGAACTGAACGAAAAAAAGATCCGTTTTATGGCAAAGAAGCTTTGGTATATTCTTCTTCAACTACTTACAAATTAAATCCTCTTTATAATAAATTACAAAGCTGTGCAAATAAGCAACTTAAAGACGTATTGTTCTGAAGAAGGTTGACATTACTTACTGGTGCTCCAATGTGAATATGACGTCAATTCTTCGTTTCGCATGTGCACTGTTTCCACACGAATTGAAGCACTGGAAGCTCAAAAGCTCAGTTTGAAATTCAGCACCAACTGACGGGGCAAAATATGCAAAACCTTAGCTACTGAGGTGAGCAAATCAGTAAAAATTTATTTGAGAAAATTCAGCAAATCATATCATATTAAAAACGTTCAGCTATTTCCGTGAGAACTGCAACTTCAAAGACTAATTGTTTAATTGTCGATCATTGATAGCATCAAAAGATTTTTTGATAAGCAATGAACAAATAGATAAATAAATAAACAAAAACAAATCAATGGACAAATACGTAAATAAACAACATTTAAGATAGCATTTTAATAACTTGCTTACCAATTCTGGATCCAATAGAGTCAATGTATAAGATATTTTGAAAGAAGAAAGCACGCTAACAGTAACATTTTAAAACTTTAGAAGCAACTCAAGTAGAATCCAGTTAAAATGTTAGACTTAGCATAAAGAGATCTAATTGGCTATCTTGCAAATTAGGCTAACATGATTCAGCCTTTTTAGCTTTACTCAAAGTAGTAAAGGCTTGTCTTTTACCTTGTGGCCCTGTGAAAGGGAACGTCACGCACAATCTCCCGCTGTCTAGAGCTTCATAGCTGGCCATAGGGTTGTCACTTCTGACAAAATGGTACCGAGAGGTCGCTGAAAAATGAATGCTTTTCAATTAGAAAACCACAAGGCAGAATAAGACTCCGAATCACAAGGCAGAATAAGACGGCTGAGAAGAAAGGAGCAAGGCTGCAGACCTCAAGTGACATTTGAAGGCAATTAGGCAAACCAACGGAGATGAACATTTGAGACCGTTCAAAACAGAAAGCAATACTTTGTTATTAGCATTTATACATTGTACAGGTTGCTGCAGAAATCACATCTTTGATTACCTAAGTAACTAGAATTTATAATCCCTAGGCATAGAAAAGACATGGGAAATGAAATCTGATTCGTTGCGATGAATTTTAGTGTTAGAAATGGGGCGTGAATCATGTTACAGGAAATCACTTTAACAAACCAGACAACTGTTTTGAACCAAGAATAGCTGGGGTAAATTGATAATGAAGCAGACAGGGCAAGCAGACGTTTATAAACGATGACATTAGTGCCAAACTCTAAGAGAGCTATTCCATTTTATTTATCAGTAATAATTCCTGTAATAAAGAAGTAAAAAATGTATACCATGCTGGACATGTTGAATTATGAATGAATTAGCGGCTTGAAAGACTTCTAAGAACATGAAACAAACAAAATCATTCAAAACTGCTTCTGTGACAATTTATCATCTAGAACCTTGGAGGAAATTATTCGCGCAATGAAGACACAAGCTCGAAGGTAATGGAAAATTAAAAAGATAAAGATGCAAAAATAAAATTCGGCAGAGATAAGATAATCAATCTCACCATCTGAGTTTCCAGACTCCTCTTCGCTGATAGCATGGTTTGAACATCGCTTAACTGACTCACTGAGAACATGCGTTCCTTTGTACACAGGGAGAACTTTTATGTAGCTCCCCTCGGGAGGCGTCTTCTCTGATTTGAACTTAAAGGGGCAATGGGCTCCCCTTTGCACATACAGCTTTCTCAAGTGGTGTGAGTAGGTGTAGTCGATTGATTTGGTTGCTCCTGGGGTTGGGGGACCGAAGCTCAATTCAAAGCCATAGTTGCCAGAAAATCGAGCAGTCTCGGGCAACGCTTGTAATGATGGTGAAGTGCTGGTTGCATGGGGCTGTATAGGAATTTTTTTGAAAATTAAAAGCAAGAAGAACTCAGTCAAATTTATAATAAATCAGACAAACAAGAGAGAGAAAGCCAGGCAAAGCAAGGAAAAGTTCGCAATGATAGAGCCAAGAACTTAATTCACTTCTAACCTTTTGCAATCAATCTGGATTGATTGCAAATCCAGTTTGTACTGACACAAACTGACATTGATAAAAACGCCTAATGGCAGAAGTTTCATGCGTTTCGCACAGAGTAAAGAAAAACTTCCGATATTTCATGGCAACTGGGAAAGACTTTGACTCAAATAGTTTAAAAATAATGTAACTGATCAATATGACGGAAGTTGCGATATAGACCCCTATGGTGCTTTAAGACTATCTTATTCATGTTATTTGAAACTTCTTGACTGAGAAGATACATAAATTGTGAGATACCCCCGGAAAGCAGCCTTCGGAGAACTGTTACGCCACAAAGAGGAAACTTAAAGCCCTTCACTTTCTGAATCAAATTACAAACGAGGAAAGAAATAAAAAGCACGAAGGCTTGTGAACTGCTCCAGGCACTGATTGACGTGTTAAGAGAAAACGATCATCTTTTTAAAGTCAGTAACAAATGTTATAAAAAGCGAGCAAAATTAATATAGAAAGGCACTCTTACTGATACGTGCGCGAAAGCGGGGTTAAAGTAGATCTTAGTATTGGACCAAACTAAGATAAGAGCAAATGTTGAAAAGCCCGAGTAGATTCAACCAGTGGAATGTCAATTGACTGAATCACGACTGTAATCCAAACCCAATTTCAGCTTTTCATAATCTCCACGGAACGAGAGGCTCAAAGAAAAGGGAGGCTAAATCTGGGAGGTTAATCTCTTCTAAGATTGCTGAATCAATCGATCGAATTCGGGTCGCCAATTACGTAAAATATCTCATAACTTAGATTTTATATCACAGAAACAAGAAGCAAAACTCACTAGTATTAAAATATAGCTCTGATTATAATACAAAGGGAAAACGGGCACTTACCATCTGTGCGTAAGTGATCTGCTGTGGTTGATTCGGGAAGTTAAAGCGTCGTTCACCGCCCTGACCTATCGTTGGGCTCTTTTTAGGAGACGTAGGTGTCATGTTATTGGGCGACGGCATGCCAGGGTGAGTTGGCGATGCATGGTACATGTTGCTGATTTGGCTGTAATGGTACTGCGCTTCATTTTGTGGCGATGCGGCTTGGTAGAAATTGCTTTGATCTGCCGATCGCGATGTTTGAGGCGGAATGGCTTGGTTGTTGTTTAAAAACTGTAGCTAAAATGGAAAAAATGCTTTGAGTTTGCGAATAATTCAAAAGTTGAAATAGAGAGAAACTCCATTGATTCAAAGCATTGAATGTTGAATGCCTACCTAGGTGTGGATAAGAGCTTAAAAATGGCGGTTGGCCCTTGGCAAAACCCTAAAAACTAGTAAGAAGGACGTCGGCGAGGACCTACTCATCGAAAGGTTTCAAAAATTGTTGCGGGTAGTAGAGTTGAAAAATTCAAGCCCCCATCCCCATAAATTGCCCCTTGGTTTGTATACCGCTTTGCAATCTGGAAAATATCTACCATAGGTTTATGGAAGTAGATGAAATTTTTAATCAGTTTATCGATAACTGATTTTAGCTAAATCCTCTGTGAACGAAAATTAGCCGAGACACTAGAACTTTAACTAAACAAGACTTCAGAGAAAAATTCTACCGGCAATTAACAGAAGTAGTTTTCAGAGCCTAAAAATAACCTTCGTAATGGGAGTTTATCCAGACGGCAAGAGGTGGAAAATACTTTTATGTCCCTTATTTATTGCTTGAGTTTTGAAGTATCCATGCATACGAGCAATTTAACTAATCTCAAATGCGCACGGAAGGGAAACTAGCCTGGGCTTGCACAAAATGCCTTTGTCTTTCCCGTTGTATGGCTTATACGCGGCAACATAGAGCACGAAGGTTACAAACTCCAGCTCATCGACGTTTACAAAGATATCATCTAAGTAAACTACCTTGTATGGATTTTCGACGAACGTGCAAGATCCTATAGCAAACTGTTTAGAGAGCACGCTTCAACTGAACTGACTTTGAATTATAAGAAAATGTTTAACTAATTTACAAGCAATCTAAAGGCAACGGTTAGCAAATGTTCAAGGTGTCGGATTGAATCTAAAGACTTAACATGGTATAGTGTATAAAAATGACGGCAATCTCATTAAAAAGGCGAAGGTTGCAAATTTTCCGACAAAAAGACCGACCTATTACACTAAAAGAGAGCAAAAAGTATTACTTCCGGACGCCTTCTTTAGCAACATCTCCATGGATAATTAAGAGTGCAAACCAGCGGCTCTGATACAGCACAATATTCTTGAAAATTACAGCAAAACTAACAATTCAGAATGTTAATATCAAGATAAAGCAAAGACATGGGCGCTAGCTAAAAAGAATTCAATTCCGGCAAAAATCTGGGGACATTCCAAAAGGCGTTCACCATTTTACCCATTCTTTCTTTCCATCTCTCCCTCTTCTACCTGACCCCTCTTATTCTTTCAGCCAGTTCCTCTCTCCACCTGCCCACTAATCTCATCATCAGCTGTACCCCTCTCAACAAAAACCCCTCTTCAACTGTTCCCTGTCTCCCATCCCATTTTCTACCGTCCTTCATTTCTACGCAAAAAACAGTTGTTTTATCAAATGAAGAAAGCTTATTGAATCCTGCCAGATATTTAGCAGTGTCTGTAATCTCTTTTAAGGCAAAAAATTCCAAAAAACATTTCTCCAGGGCAGCAGAGCAAAGATTTTGATAAGCAATTACTAAGCATCCAATTGCATAATAAAATAAAACAACTACTTGCGTAATATTTTTTGCCTTAAAAATATAAGATCAGGAGAACAATATATGGGCCAGAGATCAGCTTCACCTGGTCTTCTAAGCAATAGGGAAGTTATAGATTGTGGCAATTCTCTGTAGTTCAAGGCGTTGGAGACAAAAACTTACTTAGACACAGAGAGTAAGCTAATCAAAAGATTGGAAAACGGAGCTTCTTACTATCTAAAATGTCAATAAAATAACAACTCTTTTTGCTAAAGGGTAAGGTTGAATCGGTCCCTCCCCCATATGGACCTTGTTTGATTAATGTTCAACACTTAATTAATCTTTGGTTGGACACAAAAAACAGTCTTTCAGTTTTATATCATATCAAATATCCAGTTTTTCCATGTGCACGAGTTTGGAAAATGGACGATCCAATATAGGCTAAGCGTATAACAACAATGATGATATCGAATCGATGCTAGCTAACAGACATACATCAAGCGTCTCTCTTGAGAGGTCACCATAAATAAACCCAATATTACATGATGTATAATATATTACAATATTACAATGAAATAACTATTAATACTCTCACGTTATACCAAGGAGTCCTCTATTGATTGAAAAGTACTTGTTCTAGATATGAAAAAAGTACTATCTGTACACTGTTACCTTGACACGTAATGCAAAACTCCTAAACCTCTTTACAGCAAGACTGGAATTTCTAAAATAATGTCGCACATTCCAAGCACATTCATTTGCTATCCTTACACAGCGGCTGAGCATGCAGCAGCCTGAACATGAAAATCTAGTGTCAAAGAGATCATTTTAAATCTGTGGTTTTCCGTCAATGTCGCGTTCCCTGCAACCTGGGTATTAAGGGATGCAAAAACATATGTATCTGCGATATCGAAGAGAAAAATTCACCACACTCGAGACATTGTTGGCACTCCTGCATTCTACAAGTTATTAAAAACAAGTCAAAAAGACTCTTGCATATGTGTAGAAGCGAATTCGACATCAATAATGGGTGGTGACTGAAGACAATTTTATGTGTTTCAGCATGCCTGAACGTGATTCGGAATAGGATATAAAGTTAGCTCCATTTAGGGCATTTTCTTCTCTGTGTAGCCTCATATGAAGAGAGAGTGTGTTGCTGAAGCAGGAATGGCTTTTTAATGGATTTTGAGAAAGAGCCAAGATGAAATCATGAGGCGTTTCAACAGACGGAACAACCGATTCAATGTCCAGCGTGTAAGTGTCATTTTCAAAAAGCCTCTTTTCCAATATTGTCAACGTGATTTCTTGCAGTCACGAGACCAATCGATAGAATGATCGTTTATGGGGTTTCCTAGACTTGTTTGAAACAAAATATCTTTTATGTTTAGAGCTTTTCCCTATCAGATTTCATTTAATAGAAAAAACTATGAACCAAATAACGGCCTTTTAATCACAGATTATGTAATGTGACGTTGCTTTTATACAAGACAAACACTCTACAAAATTCAAGTTAAAAACTTCGTCAACTTGAGCAGTTATTTTCTCTGTTGGCATAACTCATACACAGGAAGTATCAAAAAAACATCGAACTGGTCTTTCTATTTCTTAACTTTTTTTAGATTCAGGGAGGAAACATTTGCTCAGTGGCAGTCCTGAGAAACCCACCTTTGATACAGTCGAACCTGACCATAACAAACTCTTGAATGCGGGCGCTGGGTCACTTCCCGCTATTTTTAAAACGAGATTTTAAAGGCGGAAAGTGAGAAAATTATCTTTGTTATTAAAGTATCATCTGGTAGAAAACTGAGCCATTTCCATTTCGCCAGCAATTAAAATTTTTAATAAATCAATTCACAGAAAATTACGACAATACCTATATTGATAATTCTAGAATAAAAACACAGCGTTTTGGTTTTTGGGATTGAAGAAATGCAGAAAATTTCACAGACAGGTAATGAATAGAATCTGATACTGAAAGGCAAGAAAAAATTTATCCAGACTTACCATCTCAATGTGTGAGCAAATAGTTTCCAATACTTTAAATTCAGACTCCCTCAATTACTCAATTATTTTAATAAAAAAAGCCTTGTACGATAATAATAACCTTGATATGGGTGAATATCCACAAATAGCCAAAAGGATAAAGAGGACATCCCAAGACCAGCATCCTCTCCTTTGAAGTCACGTGAAATATTTTGAAGACAAAAAACAGTTCACAACGGACTTCCTTCTTCCTTCCATACCTTCAGTTGGAGAGCAGTTGGCTTTGCTGAAGGAAACAAATTACTGAAAGCGAAGCAGTGCTTGCCCTTTTAAAAAATCTGTGATTGGTAATGGGGACATTTATAGGAACGTTTTGAATTTCGCTTTATGATATAACAGAACCAATGAATGAGCCAAAACTGAACTGTACTAAACAAGAACTCAAGGTTTTCATTCTTTTCTAATTTTGAATAAAGCAAAAACAGAGAGGGATATCTGATATTAAAATGACTGAAGAAACAGCAAAACTTTATATTTTTAAGATAACAAAACCAGCCATTTCTTGACGCCTCTGGGGTACATTTTCCAGTTCAAGGTGTAGCAGACAGGAATAAGGTACACGCGAAATGCACATCACACACTGCTGCTTCATGTGAGCAAATTTTTCGATAACAGCGATCGGGCCGGAACGCTTGTCGTGTTTAAGCTGATTCAAAGCGATTAAATGAGCCAGACAGCAAACAGCAAATAAAGTTCTCAAAATAAACATCGAGATTGGAAGGGACGATAAAAAATCGAGTAGAGTTCACACCCCCTTGATATGCGAGTGGCTTATCAATGACGGCATCTTTTTTATCTGTGACGTTTAGCAGAACATCTTGGCACAAAAAAATTTTCCTCGTCATTTCTCAAAAAAAATGCTTATTTTACGTCATTTCTACAGAAATTACTCGCAGATAACTCCATTCATTTTACTTGCTGAGTCAATGCATGCATGAAAATATGAACTAACTAAGACATGTAAGTCCAAATCAACAAGAACCAACAAGATTAAATGACACAAGACCACTTCTCTTTCATTCAACACAAAGAGTAGGGGAGGTTAGGGAATCCTTTTATGTAAAAACCGTTTATGACCACCTTAATAAGTTTTGTTTAACTCGAAACATTGTATGGTTCTGTAATTAAGTAGCAAATTTCCTGGTTTCTTTTTTAACAGTATAAAAGCTCTATTCTTCATATGAGGCAACATGCCCCTTCCAAATCGCTCCCGTTCTACCATACATCCCCTAAACATTGAAGGCTTTCAACACCTTTGCTAAACCTTTTTTGTGGCTCTGATGGACTTCATCTTAAACAGAAAAGTGTGCCCGCCTTCCGGCTGCCCTTGCCGATTACTCTAAATTAACATGATAATTTATGCAAAATTGCATGAACGGTATAACCTTTATAGTACGTTAAACATGGCCCTCCAAAACATTAAGTCCCCCAAAAACATTAGGTCCCCTGTGACGCAACGATGCATGATAGGTGGTGCATCTGCATTTTATTTCCGTACAAACACGATCAGCTGAAGTCATATCTTTTAATCTGATAGTACTCCTTTATAACATTAGTGGTGGAAAACTCCTCTTTGATAAGACTTAATAACAACCAACACCCGAGTACAAATGATTAGAAAGAGCAAGCATTTCTGAAAGATTTTCAACTTAATCAAACAACGGAATAAAGGCGTGAAAAGAACCTGGTTATTGCTAAGAAAAAGGCTGACATTCTGCACATGCTCACTGTCTAATAACGCAAACAACACAGAGCCCCTCAGTCATACACCTTTGTCGCTAGACTTTATCAAAATCGCATCTTCCTTCCAAGGCTTTATTAATTTGCACTGGCAGTCTTACGCAGAGCAAAGTCCACTGAACTGAAAAGTCTTGTGACCAAGCGACTACTCCGCGGTCTACAAGGCAACCGCGTCACCGCCTGCGCGAGCTATTTGTTTTAACATGGAACCTGACCGACTGTGCCCCTAGAAATTCACCTACGAGTAAAAAAGGTTGCAGACTTTCGTAGAGTTCCGTTTCAAATGAACCTTAGTAATGCCAAAAAGCGACAAACTTCATCATTTCGGTTCTGTTTTTAACTTTTTTAGGGTAACCATCCATGTTATTTCCAAAGAATTACAAGCCTAGACAGGCGTTCAAAATCATGGGCCACCACGGGTACGTGCCCCTATTAAAAGGTAGAGTAAAGGAAATTTCTAAATGTTAGAAACCCAAGCCCCTCTGTTCAAATCAAAATGAAAAGGGTACGCCTTGGCAACACGGTACAGTCTTAAAACAGCAAAATAGAAATCCCCAATCCAATATTTCGAATTTTGGCCCAGGATAAGTGCCCTCTATAGCATGCGCTTACCTACAGTTGGGCCGTCAACAGAGGTTACATTTAAGCACCAAACGTAAGAATGAGTTATGGAAGCAGCCTACAATCATTTATATATAAAAAAATTTTCAACTATATAAATCTGCACTAATAAAACAGTTAGCCACGTGGGAGGGTCTCGAAAAATGTTTACAAATGTGTAATAATAAAAAAAGCATAAGTCTAATAAAAAGCAGGAAGTCTTGCGAATGGAGCATGAGTATCAACAACATAACCGAAAACGCAAAGTAAAAGCTTTGCATCATATCCCACGCAGCAACCACCGGACACAAGGTATACCGAAGGATAACTATATGAAGGATTGCATTGTAAATGAAAGAAGAAAATTCATTGATAGGGCCTGCCCAGACAACAAATTGAGGTTCGCCGCATCATTCAATATTTATCAACTTAACTCAAAATGAGTGTTAACAACCGTTATGAAAACTACCATTTAAGGGTGCGAGCAAGACTCCACGTTGGGCCCCTTGCAGAATTGAGCAACACTAATAACAACATCGCATGGGGAATATTGTCGCCAGATAATTCCCCATTCGAAAATTACGTTGCTCCACGTGCCAGGCCTCTCTTTCACTGCACAGAGACAGTTATCTCCGCAACTCATTAGACATGCGTTACTGGCATCAGAAAGTATTCTATCTTATAATAATTCTATAAATCAGTGGTGGGCATCTTCCCAACTTGATAAATTGATGAACGGCACTCACTTGCAAACTGAACAGCGAAGCATCGCAAGAAACAAGGGCGAACTAGCGCGATAAAAGCTGTTGCCATAGCCATTTAAACCCAACACCAAAGTCAATGGTTTAAGAAATATGGTAGTGTGACAATGCTTCCCTTTAAAAGTTAAAGTGTATATTTATTATATATTTAGACTATAAAATTAAGTCGTTTCATGGATTAAGACGATATATTGTAACAGCAAATCGGTGTTTTTTTGACGATAAAGCAAGATAAACCAATTCAAGTTTAATTTAGACAAGAGCAGTAGATGAATGCCCGGTTTCATCAATTCATTTAGTTTATTAAAACATATAGACAGAACAGTGCTAAATCTGTTTATTTTACAAACAGCACGCAAATTTGCAGGGATACATGTCGAATATTTACATTCCTCTTGTTTTATGAAGTACCCTTCGCATCAAATTTTCGCCCCGATCCAACCGGAAATCTATTGGTTGCAGTCTGAATGAAAGCTGACTAACACAAGAAATAGTTTTCGCACGTTGAATTCTGAATTTTAGTGCCAACTTGAAGGCGAACGCACTTGATACATGCATGATTGACAGATTCGAAAAAGTTGAAGAAGCCGAATAACACGACATTAGTGTCGATCCGGGTATTCTGCACTCGCAATGTAACTTGAAAACAGTAATTTAGTTACCATTTTGTTCAAAATGTTCATAAATGACAAAGCTAACGATATTTTACACAATGAAGCGTGCAACCACGATGATCTATGCATACAGCGAAGACAGTGTTTTCGATTACAGAACCACAATTGTTTGCGTCGACGTTTTTTCGTCTGTGAAAATCGAGATTATATTTACCTGCAAGTCGAGGTCCTCTGTAGGAAAATCATCGATTCCAAACATTGAAAAAAGTCTAGCTTTCAACATGACGGTGCTAAGCTGTTCCAGGCAATAATACGTCGTAAATCGCTCTACGGTTTGTTTTTGACTATATAAAGGCCAGCGCCGCACAAAAGAGGCTATTGTTCAAGCCTCGAGACGACGATAAGGTTAACCAGGGGGTAACGGTAGTGAATATAACCTCTGTGTGTGCAAAACCACTTAAACATTGATCTCAGAGCAAAAAGGCAGATGCGGTTTTCGACTCGACATGACACCGTCTAGCTAGTAAAAGCCTTATACCCGAGGCAAATCAATGCTGAAAACATAATATTTACTTGTATGCTATAATTAAATCTTTCGGAAACGTTCTTCGTTGTGTTATTGTGTTATCAAAAAACTTAGCGTTAAGTGTTAAGGCTAAGTGCTCACTGACATTATAAGTTTAGAATTCATCTGGTTGAGAATGACTAGATCTGTAGGTGCATTGAAAAAATTAACTTAATTCCAATTTAAAGTGGAAGGCAGAAATGAGAACCTTTGAATTAACGGCGAGAGCCAATGCAGTACTTTAAAACGATGCACATTTCTTTCTTTAAGAATAAATCTTATAAGAATATTTGGCCCAAAGTTGATGAAATTTATGAATAAATTTAGTATAATAGCTAGAATAAAGAAAACAGTGTTTTCAGTGACTTCAACACAACCATGAATGAGGCAAAGTGCTAGTATATTTTATTTCCAAAAATTGTTTCATGATTAAGAGAGCAAGAATCGACATTTTTAGGGCCTTTTTCAGCATACTAACTAGAGGGGGGGCAATTCCTCCGGCAGCTCCAGTGACTTTCCATTGTTTTAATCAATAGGCTTCTGTCCTCCTCTTAGGATAAAGAAAGGTTTGTCCCCAAAGAAAGTGGGGGGGGGGGTAACTTCCGCATTAAATGTTATGGGATGTGCCAATTTTTAAGGTACCGATTGTCATGAAGAAAATTTTAGGGTATCGATTTTGGTAAAACCAAACATGGTCAGATTTTTAGCATGTTCTTAAATTTTAGGGTATCATTTTTGAAAGAAATATAACTGTGTTCATTTATTTGACTGAGTTGCTGGGTTTTTGCAAATTTAAATTTAAGGGTATGCATTTTATAGTATATCTAAATTTTGGGCTAGGGTTTTTGGAAAATTTATAAATCTTAGGGTGTTTTCAAATTTCATAATGGGACATCCCTGTCCTCTGCTATTGAAGTTACCCCGCCCCGGGCCCTTGGAAAAAGCCATGAACATTTTCCCACCTTGCTCTGACCAAATCTACATGTTCTGTCGCTTAAGAATGATTTAAGCATAATTTCAGGCTTAGAATCCCAAAATCTTAGAATTGCGAGTCTCAGCAAAAGTCAATTTATTTTTATTGTCATATAGTCATATTGTCATATGTGTTTTTATAGTCAATTTATTTTAAAAAATGTGTGTATTGGATTCAGTATTGTCGAGCGGACAAGAGAAGGATAGCCCAAAACAGCTCACGCCCAATTTTAGGTCATTGGAAGTCTACAGAAATAAGAAATGATTTGTCCCTCGCAAAAACCGATTTATTAAAATGCCAGAAAATAATTAATTGGCAATTCAAGGCCAAACAAAAAAATTTTGCCAAACAAACTAACACCCAAACTTTCTTTCTTTCTTTCTTTCTTTCTTTCTTTCTTTCTTTCTTTCTTTCTTTCTTTCTTTCTTTCTTTCTTTCTTTCTTTCTTTCTTTCTTTCTTTCTTTCTTTCTTTCTTTCTTTTTTTCTTTCTTTCTTTCTTTCTTTCTTATATTTTCATATTTCATTTACGCAACTTGCCACTGATTTTTCTAAGTTTCACTGGAAAATTTTCTTGCTTGGACCTCGGGGGGCCTTTTGCATATTTATTTTGATACGTATTAAAAGCGTATCTGTTAACAGTTGGTTTAGACAGATAAAAACATAGCAGCTGATCAAAGCCGACGCATAACCTGAAATGTCCATAAGCCGTTGTTACATCACAAATTATTTGTAAAACCAAATTAAAACATCCGTCCATCCCTTGATTTAATCCTTCTTAAAACTTCTTGATAGATTTAAACCAAATGATCAACTTATTTTATCAAGCGAGGTAAGTTTTGCAACATATTAATACCAATTTTTTATTAAGATTTTTATTTATATGAAAATGATTCCGAGATGGTTATGCCTGAGCTTGGTAACAGTTATGGAAGTGAAGATAAGTTGGTAGACTGTGCTGTTTATACCCATAAAGGCTGAACTCAAAGTGGAAAGGTAATATTTCCCTCGAGTTTAAACGGTTCAATTTATGCTAGAATGAACGTCTGTTTTAAATCTTTATATATTTAATAAGTCAGGTCAAAGCCTTTCTCAAAGGTGGGTGGTTCTTAGGACCAGCTTTAGGACCATTAATAACAGTACAGTAATAGGGAAAACTCAAATCTAAAAGATCACTGACGTTTAAAGAGACGTCTACAAGTGATGGACAAGCCAGCCAAAAGAACCTTGTGAAACTTCTGCTTTTCAAAGCAGCCCATGGTTTCCTATTAATAGCTTCGAATGCCATACCAAATTTTGCTCATCTTGTTAGCGACTTTTCATTCGGGTCAGTGTGTTTTAGTTCGTTAATAGTTTTGTATTTTTTCTATTTAAGACTTTGGTATTCAAAGGGTACGATATTTCCACCAAAGCAATAAGAGATTTCTGGGGATTGTCTAATAAGAAATAATATTTTCACCATAGATGTTCGATATTTACATAAAGTGACTTCCCTCTCGCAATTATTGTTCGAACTGTTCGTTCATCGTTAAAATCGATCATTTTTCCAAACCAAACAAAGCCAAAATCAAGCCACTTATTTTTCATATATAATATATAGCATGTTAATCGTTTTGCAATTCTCTTGCTATCGAAAGTGCAGCACTTTATCTGAATTTGCACCATTACACGTTGTAATCATGTAAAACTTTTGGTTCATTTTCATTTAAAATATTACACCAACTACTGCACAGAGTCAGGAAAACATTACGGTCGCACGGTCACTGACCGGGGAAAGGTCCACGAAAAACAATAGAAGCTCCAATGACACACCCAAGCAACGCCTACTTTATATTGTTTTGTAAGGAAAGTTTGCTTTCTGGGATGTTTTGTCTGGAGGAAGGTTAACAACTTTTCATGACTCTGCTACTGCACTGCCCTAGCATAAACATTGTCTGGAGATATTTTGTTATCTTGCAATGCTCTTGTCCTTGTAGAACAGAGCAACAATGGCAAATCATTAAGAGGATCAGCAATGACTTACCGGGCTTCCGCTATACTCTGGATCTTGAGAATTGACGATGCTCGGGCTCTCTAGAAAAGAAATTGGACGAAAATTTATTAAACACGATTTCTGATGTTAAGTACACTTTTTTATAAGTAAACACTTTATGAAAAAACCTAGGCTTGATTTGCCGTAAAATAAGAAAAATGTAAGAACATCCCTGTCTTAGATAAAATTTCAAAAGAAAAACAATGTGTTTTTGAAACATTTTATAAATTAACAAAACAGAACAGATTTTATCAGCGAATGAATCGTGCTTCTAGAAATATTATGCTAAGTGGTCTTAGTAAAAACAACATCAAGAATACCCGAGGCTCAGACTATTAATCAAAGAAGAACATTGGCTCATGGCAAAATTTGCGTTTGAGATTGTTAGAATATTTCAAGTATCTGTTAAAGAAAATTGACGATTGATAAGCTACGAGTTTCTAGAAGTAGTAGTTCCCTGCAGGTGGTGAACATTTATCACATTTGATAAGACAAATATTGGAAATTACTAACGAGCTCTATATTCGGAAAATGCTTTTTCATATATAAACAATAAACTCCAGATAACTAGAACCCCCGATACCTCGAAAATTCGCTTAGGCAAACTAATATAGCCTTCTCCTTGCCAAACCCCACCCCCCCCCCTCCCTCCCCCTTTCGACAACGTGAAAAATCGCAATCTCTTGGTCCTATGGAGGTTGGAGTTATTTATCAAAGGTTTATTGCATATGCTAACGGAAAAATATATCGTTTTCTGGATTTATTGTGGCCCATTTGGGTAACAACAACAAAATGTAACAACAACAAGCGAAAATTCGTGTGTTATCTTTCCCAAGGGCAAAGAGCCCAAATTAATATGATGCAGAAACTGGCAATATCAAAATAATGAGAAGAGAATCAATATGGTGAAAACTACTATGAACTGCAAAACAACATGAATGTAATTTTGGCGAAAAAGGGTCATAAAAGTTTTGGAAACAAGACAACAAAGGCCAATCGTTTATTAATGATCTTCTTTGGTAAACCAAAATTTGAGGTTTTACAGAGCTGAAATTGGATTAAAAACTATAAAAACATTTTTAAATAGACCAATGATTGACAGCATTAACAAGTGGATTGGAAGCTAATAAATACGTTTTCTGTTATGAATAAATGACAATCTAGTATATTCCCAGCATGGTTATTTTAGAATGGGACTTTTAAAGACTGTAAACGACCGACGGCATCCAAACCCGATCAAAATGATCTCAAAGACTGCATCACCAGCCTTATGATGATCAAATCCGTTTAAAAGCTTCCGGTTGGCAGGAAAAGTCGAATGACATGCATCATCGATGGAATTTTCAAATTTTAAGAAGATTATCTTTTTTTCTTACCGCTGACTAAAATACCTTGTTAATTCGCCAAATTTTCGAACCATTTCATAAACTAGGTTTAAAAATTATCCCATGCAAGATAAAGTTTAAGGCACTACGTCCCGAAGCATTTCGCTGGCCATTTAAAGTTCCCATTGGTTGGACTATACAATAGACCTATTGTTAGGTATCCAATCGGCAGCGTAAGGCTAATATTCAATGTTTTCTCGCTGCATATCATATTGTTAACTCTGTACGGTTGACTGACGGGACATAGTGCTTTCAAGCAAGGATATATAACTCACAAGACAAACAATTCTAGGGAAGGAATACTTTGCTTTCTGCTATTAACTTGACAAGTGTTCCCTAAAGAACAACACGAATTTCTGCTATATTTTATTTGAAAATAGTCTTAAAACATCGCTGGCTATCATTGAAATAAAATGAAAAATATGATTTCGCAAAGTCATCATTTTGTGTATGATCCTAATTATTATCTAATTATATCTCTTTACATAATTATTATCTGATCGATAATACATGACCAAATGATAATTTAATTTGGAATTTCTTCATTGAAACATAACAAATAACGGCTTGACAGTCACTGGATTTTGTGTTGCTTTTGAACATATTACATCTTAGTTTTTATAAGTTGGCTTTTTAGTCCAACAACCATGCTGCTTCTGCGAAATCCCGTTAAACCTTTTCAAGCAGTGGTAAGGTTATAAAATTATCGAATTTCCATTTAGAGCACTTTTTAAATGCATAAAAAGTGGAATTTTAGCAAATCAAAAAGTGAGTTAATACGAAAAATAAATAAATTATACTTACCACTGGGTTGAGACAATAAATGCTGAAAAAATGTGGCTGATTCTGGCATTCTAGAGAATGAAAAAAAAACATTGGTTATGTAGAAGGAAAACGTATGAAAATCACTTGAAGCAATAATACATATAGTAGGAAAGGAAAATACTAATACAGGAAACAAACGGATTAAGATAAAAAAAATAAAGAAGAAGAAGAAAAAAAAGAGCGAATTTACATAGTGCAGGCGACATTTTTCTAAAACTCTCCATTTTACTGTCTTTTAGAGTTTCTAAAGATGAGACCGATTTAGCCTACTAAAATGCTATCATAGTCTCACATCACGTCATTGTAACAGCAATGTTATATAAAAATATTTTTGAGACAACTGACAACACAAACTAAATAACCTTACCTTAGGGTTCATTTCAATGCAAATACTATATATATAAGTGTCTTCAATACTATAATATCACACTTTGATTAAAGACAAGCCAATGATATCCTAAACTATGAACAGACTTTTAAAAATATTTTAACTGTTTCTGGCTGTTCATAGACCCTAAAGTGAAACTTCTAATAAGATAACCAATTAAACAATGACTGTTCCATTAAAAATCAAAGTATAAAATTATTAAGTATAAAATTATTTGTGAATAAACCACTCTCTCCCCTTATTCTGCACCGTGTTAAAATTTTTCCTAATTTACTTTTTTTATAGTTAAACATCATTTCATTCAAGAACCGTCAGGAAACTCCATTGCCAAACTCCAGTTAGAAAGAACAGGATAAGGAGTCTGATTTTTGTAGTAGCTCTCTAGCTGCCTGGAGGCATTCACACGATCTTACTTCGTCAATCTAACTTAAATGAGATCTTCAATGGGTTCAGTGCCGCCACCAGCAATTTGGCTCAAGGGGGGGGGGGGGTTCAATTTCCTAAAAAAATAGGAGAGCCATCATTTATTTGCCAAAAGGTCTGAAAATTTGCCAACGAAGCATCCCTACATGGCAAAAAACTCCTGCAAGAAACCGCTTCTGCAAAAGATTCTGCCCATTCCCAACTACTCCTGCTCAAATACAAGTTTAATTGTCTTCTAAAAAGGTTGCTTTTGTCATGAAAAAAGCAAGCAATTGACAACGGCAGGGAAAAGTGACGGGATGGTAGTCATTTTTTAAAAGCAAGACTTAACTGAGACTTAACAATTTTTTCCAACTGGGAAAAAATATAAGGCAGAAATTGCAGGATCTTGAAAATTTCTCCCATATAACAGTTCCGTTTCGGTAAACACATAGGAAGCCACAATACAAACCACTTTAGGGTGTGATCAGGTTTAAAATTGGATTATTTTGGATTTAAACTTAACTCTGACCGATATTAAAAATAAATAGGTCATTAACACTTCTTTAATAGGCTTTGGACACAATAGATATGAAGACGATTCATGATGATGTGAAAATGTTCTTCAAAGCAGAGCAAAAACCAGGCACTCACAAAAGAGAACTTGTCTAAATGGAAAAAACCAAGAAGTATATGGCATTAGTTTTCTCATAACTTGGAAAACTTTAAAATGAGCTTTAGTTTCTTCAAATACATTCACTAAGTGTCTGTATCAGCATGTAAAGTTGCATTCAACGTGTTACCAAATATACATTAATGAATTTATATTTATACGATTAACAGTAATTATTAATGTAGTTACGATAAAAATGCTGAAAATCATCACTGACTGATATCATAAATCTTTAAATCCTAAAAGAACCTAAACCTAAATCATAAAAGATGCCTAAATCAATAATGGTAAAATCAATTATCCTACAATCACCAATAACTTATAAATTCACATTATAACAATATATCCATACGAAAACCATCGATAACTGTAATAAAGGATGAGCCAATGTTTTTTATCACGGGTGAATCAATAATCCCACTATCACCAATCACTCACAATCGATATTACCAAAATCATCAATAACTGCAACAAACCATAAATCAATTTTCATCGATCACCAATCACGAGTTAATCAATAATCCTACGATTACAAATCACTAATACCTATATATTAAAACAATCGTCGATAATATTATTAAAGGATAAAACAATGTTGCTATGATCACTAATCACAGTAAGTGTAGTCATCGAAGATAAATTAAACCCTACACTTGTATGATAGCTTGTCATTTGTTAATTCTATACGAAAAGTCTATACAGTATTACGCAACTTCCGGATTTCCAAGAATTGTTTCTTTAAAGTCCAAAATTTGCGACCCTACGCCTTCTGCCTTATATCGCAGTGTCAATAATAGGTAACAAGGTTTCTTAGAAATCAAGATTGTGTCGGTAGGAAACAATGAGAAAGGAATACCAAAAATATGCAAATATTGCAAAATGCTAGTAAATTTCCAGTTGCAATGACATGTCATCACAAAACTGCTGAAAAAACGAATTGTTTGTAAACGAAATCAAATTAGAAGAAAGTTGCTTCTATGATCAAGACTTTCCTGCAAATAATCGACAACTAAGATCTGCGAAGGACAAAATACTAAAAAAAGTGCGAAGGATAAAACACTCTGACTACAGAAAAAATACCAACCACGAAATCTAGACAAAAATCTGGTACGAAAATGGCAAGTTATATCAATAAAACAAGAGTAGAAAATCTCGATAAAAAAATCTGAATTGATGTTTAGACTACCGTGGCTAGAGTGTGAGGAAAAATTATATAACCTAGAGAAAAATCCAAATCAGTTTAAGAAGGCCTACTTATACGATACTGCAAATTTGAACATGCCATAAGTAAATGTTTAAGGAAACAACCGACAAGGTGACAAGAGCCTTGAATACGGACATAGGCCTAAATATCTAAAGAGAGGATAGTGTATCCAGTATTGGATTTCTCACATTGAACAAACAGAGGCTCAGAATACAAAACGACGGTAAAGATGACAGCAGTTGGTTGATATGTTTTCAAATCATAGATCACTGTATTCCTATCCAAGACAGCAGAAAACTGGCATCAACCAAACCTAATTTGAAAATGGTAGCGTAAGTTGAAACTCAACATTAGACCTTGAAAATTATACTCTCACTCTACAAAGACAACTTTAAGAAAGTATACAAACGGTTTTACATAACTTTCGAGTATGCTGGACGTGGCTACTACTTCAAAAACTAATGTAAAAAGGCAACATTTCTCGTTACGATTTCCAAAATTTATGACGTCAAAAGGCAAAAAGTCCAGTTCTCAAAGTCTAAAAGGTTTGCTAAGCCAGAACTCCCCACATCGAATACAACACGTATTGGTTGTTATAGGAGTCTTTGCTTTATCAAATAAGATTCAAAGCTAATGTAAAATGTTTAACGCGTGATGAAGCTGCATCAGCTGAAATACCTAAAACTTCAATTATTCGCCATCAAAATGGCCGAAACTTAAAGAATTATATGAGAAATCTTTGTGCACCCTAATCCTGGCTGCCATGCATTAATAAATAATGACTTGACTGAACCAAAAACACTAACAGCGGGCTAAAACAGAATGGGAGATATAAATGAAGCAAAAAAATTGGAAAAATAGTCGACCTAAAGTCTTACCGAAACAAGAATGTCGAATCAAGAGGCATATCAGCCTCAAACTCTTCCTTCATGGTCGAAATTCAATAAATTACTTTGAAATCTGCCTACGCAGAAATTTTTCTGAAGGAATCCAGGAAGTAGATTGAAGTCAGCTGAGCAATGAAGCAACGGGTCAAATTTTACACAGTTCCGGGTCACCAAAGGTTTGCAAAGGGTACGCTGTTTTAAACCACGACAGGACAACGGCCTATTCTGAAGCAATAGTCTTCCGTTCCATACAATGAAGAAGCTCTTTGTTGAAGAAGATCTATAAAAGTTGCTTGAAAAAAATCGAGACAGCCTAAAACACGCAGGGTTCAAAGATTTACAAGGAAGCAGTCAAGGGGCATCCCCAAGGCAGATGACGGTACTCTGCTAAGATAGGGAATGGGGAGGTCCTAGCTAAGTAAAAAACTGAATAAAGGCGGAGGGTTAACAAAATGGGGGTCCACCTTAACGAAGTGAGAAAATATGGGTCTCGATTGCAGAGTAAAATTTAAAAGGCAGCGATAAATTGCCTGTGTTACCAAGGAAACAACAAATTAGCGCAATTGTATCATCACATTGGAGACTTCGATTTGTGTTCCGACATGGAAATCAGGCTTTAAGAATTTCCTAGAGGACCAGGAAAGCAATAAGTGGAAAGCTCTCATTTCAAGGAAGCAAGGATCATTGACAAATACAGAATGTTTATGAAAGTAAAGAAAAGCTATCTAAATGGGTAACAGATAATTTCAACAGTGCTGATGCCAGGAAAATACGGTCACTAGAAGGACATTCATGACGTGAAAAGTGCTTTTAACCATGTTAAAAACTTTTGCAAAGATGAAATGGTTATTAATGATAGCTGCAATGTGAAGCAGACAAGCTCTTCAAGAATACCCTAAATTGTAAAAACCAATTTTTTTAAAACGTTATCTCAGGATACTGCATTGTTTTTCAAATGCAACTCAGCTCTGACATATGCTCAGGCAGTTGTCGCTTTGATTAAATCAAAAACTAGATAATGTTTAAATCAAGACAAAGTCCACAAGATGAATTCCAATACTCCGCCTACTAAAGACTAAACTTTTTCATATGAGCACCGGGAACCGATTTTCCCAAGAAATAAGAACATGGTAAGTACTTAGCTTGTCTTATATGAAAAAATTAGAAGAAAAAACAGAACTATGTTTCTGGAAATTTTTCTCAAATCAACCGTGCTGCTTATAAAGTCTTGCAAAACTGTTGTTTAGTATTCTTACGGACGAAAGTTTATAGTAAGTAGACGTAAAAAATCAATGTTGATAAAAGAACAATATTTAGAACCTTACATCAAGCAAAAAGTAAAAACATCGAGCCATATTAAAAATTATTTCGTACTAATAAAAAATAGTGTCTCGGCAAATCTGACTGCAAAATCATTTTAAAAACTGGGAAGCATATTTTGAAAACAAGAAAATGATGACTGTTCATCTTTCTCAAATCCGGTTAATCTTAGATCTTAGATCAGATGAATCATGCTTAACTGTGGCCTTTACGTTGCATAACTTTTTTGTAAGGCCTATATTGAGCGACCACCTACTTCTAAAATATTGCCTCGAGGGTATATTTTATTGTTTACTCTCTCGAGTGCAGTGGCGCCTGCAGGCAGTATTTGCTATTGCAGCTGGGTCGTGGAACACGCTTGTGCCAACACTGATAAAACATATCTCTCAAACATGTTACTTTTGATTTTAATGCAACTGGTATAATTTACTTTGATAACGAGTGATGAAATAAGAGCTGTTTCATAAACATAGCTTGGACTTATGTACATATCATTTCGTCATTAAATGGGAGTGAATAAGCATAGCAAACGAGGAGAACTGCCGAGTATCAATGCAAACAGTGAGGCTGAAGTGGGTGGCTATGTGGTTTTATCTGATTCAAGTATAATTATCCTTGGACGAATCCACTACAACTATCAGAACACCGTAACTTCAAGATTCCCTCTATTCATTTCTCAATCAAAAAGCTCAAATATATAACAGGGTCAACACCCCAAAGAAATCTTTTCTTCTAAAATTCACTGTAGGAAATACAGAACAATGAAACAAAATTATGACAAGAAAATGTTTATTTTCGATAGTTCACAATGATTACATTTGCTCGTCCATCAAAACGTCTAGAACACTGATTTGCACGTCCCTTTCCCCGCCCTCCTTAGTGCGATACCGATTACTTAAAACTATGATCCTACTTAACTGTAGTTTGCCCTCCTGTAGCCCTCCCCTAGTATAAATAAAAATGAATACGATAAGGATTAGATTTCGAGACACAGTGTCTCGAGAGAGGCCAGGGTGACACCCTCCCTACACGATGCAAACAACGCTTATCTACACTAAACTAAAGCATTTCTGCATCTTTTTACCATCGCGGCTAAGCCAGGAATTAAGCTTTAAGCTATTCCACAAAAGAAAACAAAATAGAAGTATCAACCTAAAAGAGGCAATTCAACTCAACCCGACATTCAAATCAACTCGACATTCAACTCAATCCGACATTCAAATCTCAACTAGACATTCAACGTTCTTTGCATGCAGCCAGGGCATTGGTGCAGCTAGACTGGCAATATCATAGAATATAGCAGCTGCGCAAACAACAAAGCTGAATGAAAACAGTTTCAAATGATACTTTGATTAGAATGACATTGTTTGAAAAAACATTACTGCTTTTATTCGGAAGGGAGCAAAGACGCTTGCATCAATATGCCTTTTCAAAAGTAGTAAATGCTGAAGGGAGAAATCTAATCCAATGAAACTTATCGTTGGCACCCCAAATGAGGATATTCTCGTTTTGACTTCCCTCATTGTGGCATATGCAAAAAAATAGCAGAGGGTATCACGATTGGATATCTAGAATTCTCAAGGGAAATAATTTGGTCACTGTTGAAAGGCAAAAACAACTCATGAAGCAATAAACCTCTCAAGAGATTTGGGAAGCTGACAGTAAAGATCTCTCGAGCACGGTCAATGAAATCACGAAGGTGTTTTCGAACAAGTCCCAACAAACACAAGAAAAGTTTTACAAGAAAAAATTGGGGAAGAAATTGGAAAAAAATTAAGAGGAGGGTCAAAACTAGAAAACGCATAATTAATGTTTTTACTATTAACACAAAAATGAACCTATAACCTGAGTATTTTCCAAAAAAGACCCCCCTTTTTAAATATAAATTAACTTGAACATTATAGCCATAAAAATTTGAAGGAAACGGAACAAAAACAGCAAGCTAGCAATAACATAACGGACAAAATAAACGCACGCGCGCACGGTGTATATCAAGAACAATGACCCTTTCGATAGCTTTATCTGTCCTTCAAATTTAATTCAATACTTGTTATCATAAAATATGGTTAGTTTTATCTTTTTGTAAACCAATCGTGAATGAACTACACAATATCTAGGTTACTTTGCTGATGATATCTTTAACTTTTGTGAAACTTTTGATGAGAAGACAGGTACAATTCAAACGGCCTACAATTTAGACGGCCTGAAAAAATTTAGTTTTAGCAATGACGTTTCTTAAATACCTTAACAGCTTTTCGTATTCAAGGGAATTTAGTGATCTTTTGTCGTGAATCGAGATGGATACTTTTTACCAATATTTGGAATGGAACCTTTTAGAATTACAAAATATCGAATACTAAGGGTTGGGGTGTTCATCAGTCACATATCAAGGACAAAAACACAAAAACACGACAACATCAAAAGCAAAGTTTGAAAAAAACAAATGGCTTTAAAATGAAATGGCAGAGAAAAGGAGAAAGCAAGGAGATGCACTTGTGACGTATTAGGATAAAGGGAAAGTCTTGATGTCCTAATACCTTGCTTAGGTCATGTGATAATATTGTTTGAAGAGCATAGTAGAAACATAAAGAAAACTGACAAAAAACGAATTACAAATTTACATTACAAATTATTAAAAACCAGTTAAGAATAGAGAGCTTTCGTTAATTAAGGTGAAAAAAGCAATAAAGTAGAAATTAACGAGATTATTCAGGGTAAAACCCAGAATCTATACAGTTTAATTTAGGACATTCTGCAAAAAGTGCTTTGGGTGTCATAATTACGTAAACAATTAGTTATAACTTTATAAATTGGATTTACTTGCTAGTTGTTGAGTTTTCTTGAAATCCAACGGAACGCAAACATCAAAACACAAGTTTCCATACTATATGACGTCACACAATAAAACAGACAATTGAGACAATCTGAAGGGCTTGACGAGCGCAATAAGACAAACAAATTGTTTAAAGAGGACAGATGTACGGCCTTAGATAAAATAAGTCTAAAACGGGGGAGAAAACAAGGCGATGCTCACCCATCAGTGGTTCCCTGCAGCATTTGGAAATCTTCAAATTGGAGGTAATTGTTCACCTCTGAACCACTGGGATTATGTGCCATGGCACCAACTTTAGCTCCTGTTAGCTCCAAGACCTGTAAGACATAAATTGCTTTGAGGAAAATTGCGAACAAAAAGAAACGACATCAGCCTACTGCCTGTTACGAAAAAACTTCTCTTCGGTCTGACCTGTACTGAATAACAATAAAAATATCAAATTACATAACAAATGCAAAAAGCCAACAAAATTTGATAGCCTCTTCGTGGGCCATGCAGGTGTAAGCGGATCTGAGAGCGATCAGAAAACTTGAGTTTTGATATGTCGCAATAGTGCAGTGGCCAAAAACACTAGATTTCAGAAACGAAAATAAATGGCGGTCGAGAACGGTGGCAGAAAACAACGTTAGTAGCTACACCCATGCAGTGGCGGCGCCAGCTATTACAGAGGGAGAGGGTAATGGGCGCGGCCAGTGGGACCACACCCCTTTTGCCTCGTTTCAGTGATTTGTATCAAATTAACTTTCCTTAGGAAATTTGATCTACCCCTACCCAGCGTTTTTTAATCAATTTTTAAATGAAAAATGCAGACCATATTTTCAGAAAAGTGGAGGGGGGGTTAATTACATTGCATCCATGTCACGCCCTATTTTACTTTGGAAGGTTTGAACATTTTTGTAGATAAGCCAGAACTCTGCCTGGAATGAAAAGCGCTTTCAGAACTCTGCCTAGGGCTTTGAAGGCCATGACTAAGGCAGATTGACGCATTTCATCCCAGTATGACGTAACTAACAAATTAAAATAAGGGAAATTCAGAGAGTGGTCGAATAAGTCGGCATATTCAATGACTGCTGCCGTATAGAAAAAGCAACAAACAAGACGTAGCATCATCAATCAAAAGCTAGATATAACACACAGTTATAAAGTGTGGTACTCAAAACCGCGGATAGCCTTCGCGCGGCCTGAGGCTAATGATATAACCGATAAGGGATTAATGATAACGTCATTAAACTAAAGCAACTGAAAGACTATGATGCAGTCTTGCAAAATAATTTTTCTAATTTCCTTTGAAGCCTGATAGTGTAATTAAGCATCATTGAGCAAATAAATAATACAACACAGTATTAATAAACATAAAAGGTGCGGAGATGGCTAAGTGGTTAGGGTCGCTTGTTGTTCGAGTCCCTGACATGACAAAACTTTCTCTTAGAGTGAGGAGAGTCGCCAGGCATCACGAAGTGTGGGCACATCGAGAGGAAGGACAAGGACACTGCTCGAAAAGCATAGCTTTCCAGTGTCGAAAAACTGCTTTCGGAAAAAAATTTTTGTAAGATGTTAATTGATTTACACAAATATAATGAACAACAAGCATTTTTTTAAAATTAGAGCATATCTTTGGAAAAAAGTAGCTAATATTTGCAAAAACTATGCAAGATGCTACAGCGTAGCGCACAAGGATGGTTTTGGTTGCTGACGGCAAAAATCGTGCGCGGTAGTGAAAGAGTAAGTAGAGAGTTTATTTGCCGGCGACAGGCTTGATATCTCTTTCTGTAGCTGAGCAGGAAAGTTAAAATCACTCCAACGAAATGCCATTAACCAATCACAATCGTCGAAGTTATCATGTGATGTATAATGAAACGAATTGGTCCTATGGAAAAGAACACTTGCTTTTCACCTTGCGTGTTTGCTGTTTTAGGCGATTGAGCCAATAAGGTCAAAAAGCTGTCGGCTGTTAACAAAACTGCCAAAAAATCCAAATGCTTGCTCATAATAAGAAACTTTGTTTATCTCAGAAACACAGAAACTATAAAAATCGCAGACACTTTAGTGCTTTTCTTTACCTTTAGGTCTGATGTAACTGTCAACAGATTCTGTTCATTACAGAAAAATTTCAAGCATATGCATTATAACATTAGCAATGGTGGAATTACAGGGCCATTAAAACGACTTTGTGGAGTAGTAAAACTGACGACCGACAAAAATTGAAGCCCTCAGCTAACGGTATAAAATTTTCAAAGTTAAAATTGCCAGAAATCGACAAAAATCGTTCATATGCATTGTTCTCTAGAATACTTTATGATACAAAATAGATGTCAATTCATTATAATTCAAATTCACCCAAGGATTGACTGACCTTACAATCAGGCGCTGAACATGGCCTTATACTCCTGATTTTAGCCAGCATCTTCTGTAACTGGTCAGGATGCATTTGTAACGCATATGTGCCGCATAGATTTTTCCGAATGCTAACTGAGATTACCCAATCAGCTTCTTATGAGAAGCTGACGAACAATACAATTGACGGACAACCTGTCAATCAAACGACTGCCTCCTCCTCCAGTAAACATTAGCACGATAATAGCCAAACAAGCATCTCAAAACAGCCATAACACAAGACCCGAAAACAAGAGTATCCCATTTCTAGCGATCGGGTGTCTTTTCTAGCTTAAATCAAATTTCGAAAGACACTTATTCAGGAATTTCGTGGAACAAAAACATATTCGTCGCAACATGGATATAAAAGACTCAATGTAAACAAATCATACACAAGTTTTCCTTTAAAGGCATTGAATCATGATAAAGTGGATTGGGTATACACTAAGTGCCAAAATTCGCTGAGTCATGATTTTCATGACTGCGATGCTATTGGTTGACCTGGAACTGGTCACATAAACTCACCTCGTATTGATTGACAAAACAATTTTCATCAATAGCAAGTTGTCAACAATGGATGCAAGAATCACATGAAACAGCAGCAATCACGTTGAAACCAAATGAGCCTCTATAGAGAAGGCCTATTCACCATGGCTCAATGCCTCTAATAATCGTGATTTTGATACAGTTGACGAGCAATTATATTAATTATCGTGTGCCGAAGTTTCCCGATGCAACGGGATTTCATCTTGGGAAAAATATCTAGATCCCCATCTTTCAAAATATACTTTCAGTAATGCCAACTACTAAGCGATACCAAACTATTTCTATATATATTGATTAAACAGCGATCTAAGCAACAGATATTTATGGTTATAGATAAATATAGCAAAGATTTATTAATTTGTCAATTGTGGTAAAAGAAACTGGATTGGATTTTTCAAGCGTGCATGCTTCATGTAATGCACGAACAAAGTGTAGGGCTAACTATGAATTAATGCACTTAAATTGATGGTCAAGCGAATTCCAAAAATCTTATTAGCAATTGAAAATAAAATCAATGCTTATAACCTTTAAATCAGCTTGAATTCCAGAACTTGTTTTCCATACCTATGGCAGGTCCTCTTAGCCTTCACATAGACTATACACTTATTAAGAGAATTATTTTCCGTACTAAGGATTCTTTGTTCTTTAATAATTGAGTACTCAGTTTTTAAGAGTCGCTTAAATATTGAGGTGACCGAAAATCTAAATTGTGCAAAAAGATCCCAGTCTTAGCATACCCGGTAATTTATAGAGTTTTGCAGTGGTAAACGAAGACTATTTTATTGTTTGTTTGGTAAAAAGAATTTTCTTGATTTTCTGATACCAATGGGAAAGAAAAAGGTATTATTTCATTCTTTTCTTGAAACCTGGTTACTTGTGAAAAAATGCGTGCAAATTAAATGGTCCAAAATGTTTTAATGTTATACTAAGCTATAATTATGCACTAGGTTATGTCTTCTATCGCTGGAGAATTGTAAACTGTTAAGGGTCAACTCAGCCCGCATACTTGATTTGAAAAAATAAACAATAACAAAAAATAAGTAAGAAGCGTTTTCACGTGATATCAGAGATATACATAAAACGGGAATTAGAGTAGCCTTTATTGACTTAGAATGTATACAAGTTGAGAATCCTTGCACTAAATTTAAAAATATCGAAAGCAAACAGAATCTAGCTCAAAATTCTTTGTTGAAAATTACATATTTTGTTGGGATTCGATGTAGCAAGTCCACACAGATTAACAAGAATAAAAGCGAGATATCGTAATACGTTGATGTGGAGGATAGGATGAAGCACAATGGTAAGGAAAGTCTAACAAACAAATGGAGATGAACGGAGCAAACACAAACATTAATCCATCTCGCCACAAGCACCAACGAAAAGTCATCAAATAGACATTTACGTAAAACACTAAGTCTACTGAAAACAGCTATCAATCTTGAGGATCGTACGATTGTTTCAAACATCTCGACTTCATCAGACATGGACTTCTAACCAGCAACCAGATAAACATTTCGCGCAAACATAAAAAACAAACAGTGATTCTTATAATATCACGATGGCCATCATAATCATCGATTGATTGGCTGATTGTGATTGACGCTGATGAAATAGCGATGTTGACGATTATGACGATGATTATGATTGACTGATTCATTGCTCGATCCATCAATTGATTGACTGATTGTGATTAATGCTGATGAATATAACGATGTTGATGATTATGATGATTAACTGATTGATCATAAATTTCGGCAGACATTCCTCGGTATGAGAAAGAAAGCGACAGCACATAACCTTTGAAAACGCCAATAGTGTTTCATCTCAACAGAGGGGAACAGGATGTGTGCCTCAAGTTATCAGCAAAGAGTATCATAATATGTTACAAAGAATGGTGAGAATTGACCTTGGTACATTGACACAAAACCATAGGAAGCATGATGCAGCATAGAATTACAACCAAAGGCAATAAATAGCAATATATCGTAACAAAATATTGTCTCAAAAACGCGAACAGACATGTTGACAACAGAAGTAATTTAAGAGTCCGAACAAATTGAAAAGTACTTATGTTCCTAGTAGATGCGAATGATATTCCACATTAAAGACTTTGTATCATTACAAACGTTCGATGGTCCAAAAGTTTTCATTTGATTGACTGCACTTTCGTCAATCTTGATTTAAGAATACACCTACAGCTAAAAACATTAAACTATCTGTAATATTACACGATTTTCAGTTTTAAGAGGTATGATGATCAGGTGTTTCTAGGTGGATAATTACTTCGTTCGTGAAATGATCAATACAATGAGGCTTTCATACTTAGACAATAATCTGGGGTTTAGCGCTAGGGGAGCTCATGGGGGTCTTTGATGCTAGGGGAGCTGATGGGGGCTGAGCCTACCTTGATAGTGCCGAAAAATGGCCGATTTCTACATTTGCTACTGTCTTTGCAACATTTTGCGCAAGAGCCCCCCTTTCGTTGATTGCTAATGCAATAATGCCCCTAAAGCTACACCATATTATAACAGAACCTCTCTACATCTAAAGAATACAGCTTGAAGTTTAGCATTATTCGCACTTTGCAATACGAATATCGAAAGTCGTGGCAAGAAGCTTTCGTAGACTGGCTACCATGACAAAATGCAACAGCACTTTATTTCTTTTGAAGGACCTTACTAACCTAATATTTTAATTCTTTTAAATTTTATTGATTCTTACTAATCCGTAAGTTACCATTCTGGCCGTTTAAGCTAGGACACATCAGTTGTAAACAAGCTGCAACCTCGTCTTAAATAAGAGAACGGTGTGAGAAGTTTTGGGTTGCATTGTTAGAATTCACACCAAAGAGAAGTTCCAGTAACAAAAAGGACGAAAATTACGGAATACTCCCGGGATCTTTAACTGATAGATAAGACAAAGGCAAAAAATAGGACATCGTTATTTCCACCAAATATGATTTAATAAAGAAGATTCCTTCTCCCCATTGCGTCTACAGCACGGCCGCGTAATTTGGAAATGTATATTTGCCACTCGGTTCACATTTGATTTTGGCGTGCAATCTAATACTTTGTCATTAAAACAAACCATATCAAACACATAGATAAGCGTGATAACAGTTTATATACAATGTTTCCGAGATACTTAACAAGATGCGATAACGAGTGCTTTCGAAGGGCATTACGAAACGTTGAAAAAACTACTTACTGCTAAGTCTTGCATTCTTCTTAAAGTCAATAATCAGCCTAGAAAAAAGAAACAGAAACTAACGTCACGAAATTCAGATCACGATGTAAGGCGAATTCGTTGATCATTCGTCAACACCATCACGATCCGCACTAAAATTAATTCCACTAAAATTAATTCTTTCGCACAAAACTTCCCTTTGAAGCTTGAGGAAAGGAGTGACGTTTACAAAATCTAAATATTTCGAAATTTCACTTATGGATGCGGGAGTTCAAATAGTTTTCTTATATTGTCAACGTGGATGGTTCACAAATTCAGCAGATTTGGCAAATGTACCCTCTGATAACATAACAGTTCGAGGTTAAGGGAAAATCCAAGAAACAAGAACAAACAAAAATAATAATTGTTTCAAAACAAAGAACTACAGAAAGGCATCACTGGCATCTTTAAAGTTTTAAATTGTGCCCATTTTAAATCTTACAACACGAAAATTATATCGATTTTCCATGGGACGTTTTTGAGGGGCAACGGTTGAGGGTTATAAAAATAACCACTGGACGTTTGGCCTGAAAGAATAGATGTTTGTGCGTGTTTATGCTAAGAGATACCTTCTTAAGAAACAGCAAAAAGATGCCTAAAAAATGGACATACCGTATTTCCTCTAAAGAACGCCGCGGTGTTTATTACAAAATCTAACTTTTTGGATACGGCGTTAAATAGATGGCGACGTTTATCAGAGGGCGGCGTTTATCAGAGGGTGGCGTTGATAAGAGGGCGGCGTTGATAAGAGGGCGGCGTTGATTAGAGGAAATACGGTGATGGAAATAATCAACAAAATAGTGAAATGATGCAGTGACTGGCTATTGGGTAAAATAAAACTCAAATAGGAAATGTCTAATAATTTTGGCAATGCAAATAATGTATCAAATTAGCAAAAATATTGAAAATACCAATAATATATTGTAACGGAAAGGCATATTTTAAAATATATTAAATGCTACAAACAGTTATTTATTTTTAAGTGTGCTTTACTATGAGATCCATCAGGGTATTGAAATATATTTAAAGTTTGATCATAATAAAGATACTGCCTGCCTTGGGCTTTATTAAAATGAATATAGGCTTGGTCCTATATTGAGATCAAGGCTTGGTCCATGATTAAAATTGGGTTGGGTTTGTACATTCTACATTTATTGACCTTTACGGTAGATAAAGAATAGCTTATTCAAAGAAAAAACAATTGATAACTGAATTTCCTTTAATGATAGATAAGAATTTTTTTAGGAGACGTTCATTGTACTTTTGCAATGGTAAACATGGCAGTAAACACAGTGCCCATTTTTGAGACATTCATTTCATGAAAAATATTTCATTTGAAAAACAAATCCTTTCAATATCTTCACCTTCGGGTGCTGAATACTAGCAATATTTTTAAAAGAAAACTCATGTACCAGCTTCCAAACAATAGCCTCCTTGTTTCTTCACTTATTATCGGCAGCTTGCTTTAACATAACAGAAAGTGATATGATGTTACTTGGAAGTAACTGTCAACTGCCTTAAGTGTGCAAAAACCCAAAATCTGAAAAGTATTTATCAATACCCTAAAAAAACGATTTTGCATCAAAAGGGCAATGCAACACAATTAATAGAATTTTATACATCTAGTCGGCCTGCTTGTCTACAGCACTTTAAGGCTTTCAAATAAGAAATTTGAGAATCACAAAACCTTTACACAAACATGTATATGCCTTAGTTGGTTCAATGACATTTCTTTAAACATTCAAAAATGTTTTGCTTTTGGTAGGTATAGCAGGGGGAATAGCTGTGTCCACAGATATTTTTTTACTTTCAAACACTCTCTGCACCTTCTATAATTCTATCTCGTGGCTTGTATCCAGTGGCGTACCCAAGGGGGGGAATAGGGGGGTCAGGACCCCCCACTTTTTTAAAATATGGTCCTCGAGATTTGTCCAAAAACGATGCAAGACTCATTGGGGGGGGGGGTCAATAAAAATTGTAAAATATTTTGCTATATACGTAGCTAAAATGAATCAAATTATGGGGGAAAATTTTGCAAAAAGGGCGTTTCCCCGCATTTGCGAGTGTTTGAAGTGCGTGGTCCAAAAAAATTCTCCAGACATCCCCACTACTACAACCCTGGGTATGCCACTGCTTATATCACATGAGGTGATAAATTTAATTTGCAATTTAGTAAAAGATTTACAGCAACATCATGTCAGCTCTAGGATGTTGGTAGACAATCAAAGAAGTGACCCATGTGGAAACCTGGAGACTTGATACCCTCTTTTCATGAGATTTGCCATTTTTTCATTTCATTGCTTGTTTTTAAAACTTATGCATAAGTTTAGATTTTTCGAAAACTAACATTTGAATTATTGTTTTTTTTAGTTGTTCTTTAAAAATGAATAAATCTTTTTCTAGCTGTTGAACCACCTTGAACTTTCTCAAATATGTCCAACAACTTATGCAGCCTTAATACATTTTTCCCAGAAGCTTATCATTAAGAGTGAGAAGAGTCACCAGCTCTCTGTAATTCCAGTCATAGGAATTACGAGGTGTGGTCACATCGAGAGGAAGGACCAGGACACTGCTTGATAAGCATAAGCTTCTAAATGTCCTAAAAACTACCTTCGGATGCTAGGTAGCAACAAATACAAATACAAATTGCAGTAAATAGCAAACATATATTGTGAGTAACTAATAGAAGAGTTTCAGTTTGTGCTTCTTTAATCAATTAGAGGGGCTTCAGAAACTCCTTTAAGTACTTAACTGCAGTATAGGTTTTTAAAAAACAAATGATTTCGTAAATCTGTTTCATTCAAGAAACAGCAAATTAAAAATCACAGTACTATGAGGAGCTCACTACAAGACCTTTTTAATAGATTTATTACCCTTTGAAGGTCAACAAAATATTGTGGATAATACAAAGCCATTTTCAAAGAAAATTTAACTTTCAAATATATAAAGTATTTCCCATAAATATCTGAAATTATCAGTGACATTAGAACCAGGAGACACTAGAGACAAGTGCCTTAGCCTTTGGAAAAATGATCCTTTTCTTAGAAGGGATCTAAACAGCTCTGAATATACATCATTGAGTATATGACTCAGTTACAAGTTATTCTTATGATATAACCATTTTAATCATTACAATTATATAAAAAATGAATCAATGATGTGCAACATGTACATAAACAACTGATACTAAAATTGACTTTTTTTCTATATTATCATTTATTACATCTAACAAGTTAATTTGCTAAATAAAATACTTTTATACTTCAAGATTGTAGATTATTCACAATAAACATTCTGCTTGTATTTCCAAGAGAATCACTTTTAGAAAATATGCTGTGGAAAACAACACTAGCTTTTAAAGGAGGGAAATAAATTGATTTCCACACCTGTTTCCTGTTTTTTAGCTTTATTAAAATATATTTATCTGGCAAGGGGTTTAGGGACTACAAACAAATATCATTCTATATGTTGTTGTAAGTATTCCTCTTCTTGTGAAAATCAAACCCCTAGAACATTAAAATAGGGAGTTTCTCTAATTTACCTTAGTCAAAATGATTCATAATTTTCGTACGCACTTGTAGAATTATTTCAATCAGCTTTCGTCATTTGATAGGCAAAGGAGGAACTGCAACTTCCGATTTGAGTGGACCCCTACAGTTCCTGATGCAACTTCTATATATTGGGCTATTGTCTAGTTGATCTAACGTTGATGATCTAACAGGTAGAAGATTTTAAAATCATAACTTAGAGGTGTGTTGATTCCCTCAAGAAAGATGTTTAAAAAGTGTGTGTCCGTATGTTGTAAAATTCGAGTTTCAAAGAGAATATTAATCTTCAAACATTTGAAAAAAAACATTACAACTGCGACAGAAATTACAATCCCTGCCTGGGGAAACGAGGGACTTTATATATAATTATTTCTAACCGTATGATTGAATAAAACAAAGATGAAAAAACCTAAAAGTCAAGAGAAGGGCTTTTACAATGTCCGACTAGCATGATAAACCAGAATATAAACAAAATTGATTTGGCCTAACCAAGTCTTGATTGTTATGTTTTTCTATACGTGAGGTGCCCCAAAAAATTTTTTAAAAAGTTGGAGAAAGAAAGCATAATAAAAAAGAAAGCTTTGATATTTTAAGGATAATCACCACAAATGTTTCATTGTTTTGAAAAATAGAGATATGTTTGGGCTGGCCAAAAAGCGGCTTTCAATAACAATAGCCTCCTTGCAGCATAAATTTCCAGGTGGTAGAAGATCCTGCGGCATAGAAGGCGGCAAAACAAAGAGCTATCGACTAAAAACTGTATCAAATCAGTTAATTTATTCAATGCGATATAAAGAGAACAATAAACTTACCAAACAAACAAAGTAGATAGGTTGTTGACTTCTTCATCACGATCGATCGTCAGATTTAATGTTATGGAATGCTTGCCGCACGAGGCTACTTGAGGTCTTCTAAAAAAAGAACGGGAGAATTGGCCAATCAGAATACTTGCTGATGACGAAACAATAAAGCTTAACCAATGAGAAGCAGTTTGTGATGCACTCGAGGCTGTAAAAAAATTGATCCTAGCGTAACGTAAAAACTGACAGCAAAGTAATTTTGATAAATGGATTTTTTTTCTTTGATTGAACCATCACTCGAACTGGTCAAAAGATCAATTTTTGTCCTTCAAAATGGATCAGTCTCTTCTCCGTTCCATTGACCTAAATGCTGTTTAAAAAGAAAATGAAGTCAGGGATAAAGTAAAACGATCAACTACGACGAAAATCCAATGTTGTGTAAAAGAACTTTAGAATAAATTTGATTCAACGAACAGCATATCTTTCGTTTCTTCCTTTTTACGCATTAAAAGAATATCCTCTCTTTTCACTACCCTCAAATCGCTATTAGTGTCAACAAATACATCTTAACTCCCCTGCTCTTCTACCGTGCCCCTGGCTCCCAGGCACTTTGGCCAAGGACTTGACCATGATATGATCGTGTTTACTTGTATATTACTAGAAGCCTTTTAACAAAGGATCGTGTTCTTTATTTTTTGGTTTATTCCTCAACACGAGGAAAAATTGAAATTGGAATACCTCAATAACTTTGCTTGTGGCCACAAACTAATTTATTTTTTTGCATGTCAATGATTACATTTATCAAATCTGTAATTTTATACGCATCTTGGAAAACTTCCTTCATTACCTTCCAATTCTGCTTCAAAGGAACCGAATAATAAACATTGTCTTAGGGTCAATCGCAATTAATAAAAGTCGATTAACTGTTCTTTACGAGATCTTTCCAGTTTTTCATTTAGCCAAATTGAGCTGTCAGGTGCCTTGTCTGGTCTTTTTAATCGGTTACGGTGGGGAAAAGCCTGAATGCCTATAGCAGTTCTAAGAAAAGGCCTAAAAAAGATCAAGTTCGTTGATATAAGTTTGGATAGTTTTGTTTATTGAAAACTAAGGACCGTGATTTAAAAACTTCGGGTACCAGAGGCTAAGTGAAAAGGTGGGTCGGTGAAAGACTGGGTCGATAAGTGAAAGCCATAAGAGGAGAAAGGAGGAAAGATGGCGAAACTTTCCTCCCCACTCCGTCTAAGTGCGACCACTATTCTCTTTCACTGTCTCTTTCACTGAGGCCCTGGTACTTAAGCCGCATCTACACGAGCAACTTTTTCTTGGTAATTTTCCTTTACAGGTTTCCTTGCCCTTGTAGATTAGCAACAAGTTTTGTTTGACATTCGTTCACAATATCTATTTGCTCTGACAATCGTTTTGGCCAGCGGAGTTTATAGGTTAGCCTCGGTTTTTGTGACGCGGCACGTTTTTCGCGTCAAATTTTCTTGCAAAAAATAGCTCCTTCAACGAAGAAGATACTTTTATCCGTGGGTGGGAAATCTCTGGAATTTCTTCCTTTAATATCTGTATACCCATACTCATACTGCGCATATTCATTCTTCTTGATGTTCCAATTTTACAACTTTCTGCCTTTGTATTCTGAAGCCTTTCACGGCTTTGCAGAGTATTAAAAGCATTGACGTTCCTTGATCGGCCAAGAACAAGCAATTGTGAGAGAAAATGGTCTGGAATTGAGTCAAATTTTTCAAGTTCACTTGTCAAGTCATCTACACGGACAAGTTTTGCAAATGACAATTTTCTCCTTGACAAGTGAACTTGCTGAAAAACTGGCACGCCAGCTTTTAAACTAGTACACTTGTCAAGTAAAAAATTTTCATTTTTCCTCAATACACCTCTACACGAGCAAAATTAACTTCTCAAAGAAAAATTGTCAAGGAAAACTTGTTGGTGTAAATGGGCTTTACTGTAAAATACTGGAACATTACAACTCAGAATCATATAAAGATTTACCATATTCCAGTTTCACAACTTTGTATAATCACTTAATCAGCCTTGCCTAATGGTTCTGTTAGCATTTGTTATGCTTTCATTTTTCAATAAAACTTGTTGATATCATTAAACTTTGTTTCTATTTTACGGTAGGGGCATGACTATAGAGGACGCAGGGGCCGAAAAACTCTGTAAAGATCTTTCCACTTGTCCTCCTCAGCAAAATCACCTTATTACATACATTCTTTCGATGTCAGCATTGTAACTACTTTTCTTTTGTATATTTTGTTACACGTTGATATTACACGTACACGTTTACACGTCTAACAGACGAGAAATGACATTAAATGACAAAACGGAGTATTTATTCTCGATATTGTTGTTTGTTAAACTCAGTTCATCCGACCTATTTTCTCTTGATTTCAAGAGCCATTGTTTAATACTAAGCTGTTTGGATGGCCGCTTTTAAGGGAAAAGAAAAGCTCATATAAAAACGCAGTAAAATTAAAATAAATCCTACAAGGAACGTTGCTGGATCTTCTGTTCTTGAAATCATTCATTTCTGACCTACAATGCCTGCCAAAAGTCTTGGAACACTGACATCAATTTCCAAGATTAAAACCAATCATCCCCCTCTCCCTCACGAAACAATGTTGGTTTACTATCAAACGGGTTATTGTTTTAGGAAGCACTTTCTTTTGCGCTTCATTTATGATATTTCTCTAAATCATCAACATTGTTTTAGAGGAAAGGGGGCGGAAGTAGCAATTTTTTTTTCATGAAAGGAATGAAAGATATCAAATGCATCGTAAATTGGTTGGTGTTCCAAGTACTTTTGGCAGGCATTGTATGTAATGGTCTCATCACAAAGAGGTTGATAATTTCCCGAAGAATACAACTATATTCACGTGCGATAGGCCAACAAAAGAGAGTAACCGAACAGTAAAATTGTCTAAGCAAACTAATAGAATGGTTGTAAACGCAGTGAAATTTCAATATATATTCTAAGGTAAGCACCGAGGGAAAAGAACATTTAAAACAGCTATTCAAAACGTTTTGACGGAAAAATAAAAAATATAGCAGACACATCAGCAAGAAATCAGAGCCTTTTCTGAGCTGAATGACTGTACAAAAATCTGACTGAAAATGATATCAACTCCACCAACTCATAATTAGCACAAATTTTAGCAGCATATTTCTACCAGTATTGCATTCTTCTGTTGTTTACCAGAATGCTCGGGCTCTCAAAGTCGTAACGAAGAATTTTGATAACATTTTTTTCATGAGATAAAGCAGGTCCAGACGGTAGTACTCTACGATTCATGAGGCTTTTAAAACGCATAATAAACTTCAGACATCAAATGTCTGTAATATTCACACGAAAGTTTGTAGACACAAAGGACAAAAGCTACGTATAAAAAATTTTTGTAAAAGAAAGACAAAGTCCAGAATAAAGAATGCCTCAACCTGTTCTTCGTTAGCTCTTATTTTTGACCAAGTTCGACTCAAAAGTACGCCTTAACTACTTACTATGCCATATTAATTTGCAACAATCACATCCAGAATCAATTAAAAGTCCACTTTTTAGACTTTTTCAGGTTTTTTAATATTACCTTTAAACAAATTCTAGGTTATGATTTCCACAAAAACAATTTCTAGGGATTTTCAGATAAAGCAATAGGGTTTCCACAAAGGGCATGAGAATCTTATCGAGTGATAAATCTTAAACATTCTGTTTTAGTGTGCAAACTTTTTATGATTGCGAGAAAAATGAAAACTATAATTTTTATTTTAAGAACACTTGTAATAAATATACCAAGGCTTGATTTGCTAAAAAAAATTATCTTAAGAGAATAGTCCACCTCTAATGAAAATTGAGAAAATGCATTGTGATACACAGCATCAGCAAATCAACCGCTCTTCTTAAAACGTTATGCCATCAATATTATGCTAAAAGAATAAAATTACCTTGGAGCGGTCGAAGATATAATAAATTGTTAGCAGTTGACTTAAAACCAATTTTTGAATAAAAACAACATTGAGAGCACACGAGCTACAAATTCGCTTTTAGAAAATCGCGACCAAAAGTTTGCCATAAAATTCATTTTCCAAAAAAACTACTGTATGTACTATAGGCAAAGAGGATAGAAAAGGTAAACATTTAATATTTTGAATACGCTGACTAGAAATGGAGATTCTCATAGTGGAATGGAGGTATCAAGCGCAGGGGTACAGCACAATTCACTAGCAATATTTTTCGCTCTTTTCTATAAGAGTAAACTTAAGTTCAGTTTGACTGTTCTTAATTTTATCGAAAAAGGATTGGACTGGATTGTTTTTAATTTGTTCTTAAATCAATAGGGTGTAAGCAGGACCTTTTTCGCTCCAGGGAGGTGTCCAGGCCTCATTTGCCAACAAAGCGACTGAGACAACCTTTATTTCTCTAATGGCAAAAAATCCTCGCTATTGAGCCGTAATGTTGCTCAAAGTTACATGTCATAGTAGCTCAGCCTCAGCTTTCATTTTTAACCAATTTTGAGGCTCGTGTTCTTATAAAATTGTTCTTTTAAAAAAAGAGTGTTACTAGGCAAATCCAACGCTCATTAGCATTAGCTCAGAAAATACCGATAAGTACTTGAGAAGGAAACTTTAAAACAGCAATGAACTCATGAACAAGTCACTTACAACGTAGTTTTTCAGTATAAGAACTGATGCGTGTGATGCGATCCTCTTGGAGCCTTCTTAGAGTCTCACTTTTTTTGCATTGACGTGCAGCTCACTTCGATGGAATTAAGTTCCTTGTCTTTGCAGGATTCACGTGGTAATGTTTTGATTACTCGGCCGACAAAGCCTGCCCGGGCACGTTCGCTATAAACCTTTTTGCTAATAATTAAACGGGCACGATCACTACATTATTCCATTGTTCTGTGAATATAAATGGACAAAAGATCCACGCGATGTTTCTTTACTTCTGGATGCAGTCCGCTAAGTTGTCATTTCATCACAGGCATTCAAGATAACTGATTTACGAGAGCTTGATTTTGCCGGGCGGGTATAACCTGCCGAAATGACGCCATACCATCTAAAAAGACAATTCAACACTATCCCTATTGAAACCTTCTAAAAGGTGTCTTGAACTTTCTTAAATTCAGTTTGAAAAACCATAAAAAATTCAATTTGCAAATTTAAAAATAAGGTCTATCTATGAAGAAGTAAATTACACTGCAATACAAAAAAATTGATTAAGAGCTGGGAGAGATGTATTTGCAGTTGAAAAATCTTGAGACGATGTGTAATTAGATTCGCGCCTATATATCTATATGAACTATGACTGAAGAAATAATAGTTTAGAAGAAAATAGTTTAGTATGCATTCACCACGTTAAGACGTTTTTTTATTAAAACTGCTTAGAAATCATATGATTTGATACGATGAAATTTTCGGTAGAAATATGGTACGGAATTTCTCCACGCTGGATGTTCCATAAACAAAAGGAAATTCTCAAAACTTCTTTAGGGTAACTTAAAAAAAACGAGACAATCTCTATCGAAGGGACGAAATTTAGAGGCAAGGATTTTTGTGTCAAACCCTTCAGTTGCCTAGAAAATGATGGAACCGCCCATTTTTACAACTCCATTTATAACTTGAGATAAAAGTAAGAAGTATGTTAAGCAAAATTTACTGAATAACAAAAAATAATGAGATGTTGCCGTACCCCTCACAACCTTCTGGTCAGTCGGTCCCTGACTGATTTTGTTTATTTCGGGGTGTTGCAAAAAGAGAAGTTGAACCAATTATAGAAAATATTTTTATTCAAAGCTTGACTTTACAATGAATTTTGTTAACTGACTTGGTCATAGTTTTTTTAACTGTCCTGCTTTCTTACAAAAAGTGGACTAAAGTTTTTAACAAAGAAATGTCACCAGGGCTAGAAAGGCAACTTTCCTGATTGTTTGTCAAAAGTAGCTGTTCTAAAATGCAAAGGACAAAAAGTATTAATGTTGTCAATTTTACATACTTTTTTAGCTTTATTGTGCAGTAACACATATTAGCTTAAAACAGGCTGACCGTAAAACCCATTTTAATTAAATATCTAGTCAAAGAGATAAAAGACAATAGAAAGGCATAAATGAGGTATAATTTGAAGAAGAAAGTAGATTTACGAGGATAAATCTAGACATAACATTGGTAGAAAAATATGGCAAGACTGGGAATTGTATTTACAGAAATTATAAGACCCCTTGGTGGGTTACAGTATAGCCAACACAGCAGAAAGTTGCATACACCAGAAATGCCAGTCAAAAACAATGGAGAAGATTCAAAATGCAAACTAACAAATATTATACTGCGACTTACTCAAGATTTCATTAAACAGCACTGCACTTTTACATAAAGCAAACAATGCCGATATATTTCTTTTCTAAAGAATGAGCTGTCTTCTTTTCTAGCTAGGTTCCTCCTTTAATTATGAAAAAACATCAGTAGAAGCACTTTTTAAAAGTTGGAAGTGATTCTCAGTAAATTTTCCTTTCAGCTTCACAATATATATATATATACATATATATCATTATTTATATAAAACTATCCAACTGTGGTAACAAGATTTTAAATAAAATGCTTGTTGATGACTTCAGGCATAAAACAAAACTTACAAATCAGAATTCAAATAATTTAAAAATTACTGCTTCCACTTGACCTGCACAATTTCTCGATTTACACCCTTGTCTACTTGGTGAACTATTTTGGGGGCAAGTTTCCCCTGCTGTTCAATATATTCAATAAAGTCTTTGGAACTTCCACCAACACCAAAATAGTAAGATTTATTTGCCAAAAGTGCAAGTCCGTTTTCTTTCAGACAATCACACAAGAGCTTGTGCAGTTTTTCATAATTTTCAGTATTATAAATTGTTTCTGAGCTAAGTATTAAATCAAACTTTTTCTTGTTTGTTTTAAGGCATGTGCAAACATCTACCCAGTCTCCTGATAGCATCAGTGTCTTTCTGTTCACAAGATCAGCAAGACATGTGTCATCTATATGGGGTGATTGCTGCTTCAAGTTGCAAATAATATTTGGAACTGTAAAATAATTAATAACTTCCTCATTGAAATCTTGGAAGCAAACAAAATTTGCCCCACATACAAGGCAGTAAAGTGCAGGAAGTCCTGCACCACATCCAAGTTCCAGGACATCTTTATCTTGCAAATTGGCATTATCAGATGCCAAAAACTTTACAAGATCGATTGAGCATTCCCATATTTTAAATCCTCCTTCATAGACTCCGCTTCTAAGATCTGAATGCTTCATCAACTCACACAGATTTGCAGTTACATCACCAGGTTCACTGGCTTCCAAAAGACCATACACTGATTCCTGATTTAGATACCATAACGACGAAGGCCCGCTATTTTCAACTTCGTTGCTCATCAGATGTAAGACACCAAGTGACTCCGCTTTGATAAGTTTGCGAATTGTTGGTAAATATTTAATAATTTCCACAGCATGCTGCTTGAATGACACTGATGCATCTCCACCACATCCAGAGTAATTTTGCGATTTATTCAATTTATGTGTATCACTAACTTGTATATTATCATCAGCTTCATCATCCACTGCTGGAAGCCCGAAATTAAACTTGAATTCGCTAGACATCGAGCTGCTAGTCGAAATAACATGAGCTTTTTGCTCCGGTCACGCCAAGCACGTTGCTGTTGTGAATGTTGTAGTTAAAGCTGTTGCTGTTGCATATCACCCCTCTTTATGACACGTGAGCAAGTACCAATGCACACGGGTGCTGGAGCCACGGGGGCAGCGGCGGCAGCAGCACGGGGAAAATGCCCATTTTATGAAATTGATTTCCAAGCAATATAAATTCATATCAATATTTTGAATGCTAATGAAATCTAGATTTCAAGTATCTCTTGATACCTACATGCAAGAGAAAAGTCGATATTTTCCATTTTGATAAGAACTGAACATCGATTTGCCAAGCAATTTGACCACAAAAAACTTTTCGTTGATAAGCTCTCTTTAACCTTCATGATCATGCTGAAGATATTTCAGATTGCTACCAATGTTGGTTTGCAAATATTCGATTTATCAGTCACGGCATTTATGATGTCTTAAACTCAAGCAAAGGCGTAGGGACAGGGGGCACAGTGGGTACGTGCCCCTTTTTTCCAAAATGCAGGTTATCTGCCCCTTTGCAGCTCACTGAGTTGCTCTATTTGCCAACTGCCTAACCAAAAAGTGTTCTTGAATTGCTTAGGTGCTATACGAAATGAGCAAAGGGATGACTTTTTGGGACCATGTTCTAAAATGTTTCTATTCGATCTGCTTTTGGAAACACCAAAAACATCCTGAAGACTTGGCTTGAATTTGGTAAGCAGTGCTAGAATGCACATGCATTTTTATGAGCCAATAGTAAAAGCTTCCTAAAGATTTTGAGCGATTTTATTTTCTTATGATGCAATCTGAATTTTCAAAAGCAAGTTTTTGAAACATTTTTGTAGCCGAATTATCTCTCTTCAGAAGTAACGATAATAGAATGATATTATTCCATTTGCTCTCAAGATCTTTGTCATACAGATGTAGCCAAATATGGATCTCAGTTCCAAAAAAAATAAGTACTCCCAAACTTTACAAATTTTTTAGCAAAAATCTCAGAATTTTCATCACCCAATTGTACTTGTGATTTTTGCAAGAAACATGTAAGCAAACATAGCGTTAGTTGGCTTTCCTTAGCTTCAATACGGCTACAGATTGTACCAATTTTAAATAAAGAAAAAAAACATTAAGTTCAAAGGAGTTATATCCAAATGTTATATCAAGCCATGTAGATGGTCATCAGAACAAGTTTTTGCTTTTATGTAAGGTGTAAAACTAATAAGTTTTACAGGGCAGATAAAGATCGAAAACCAGACTCCAGTTCGCAATAACGTTTTTAAATCAAGATTCTTCAATAATGAATGTATAAATTAGTAGCAACCAACGATTACAACATAACGACTTCTTTCAACGACAACTTCGACTCGACTGGACTTGCACTCAAAGAACATACGCTTTTAACAACATGAGTGACGCACACAAAACCCTAATGACACAAATTAACGGCAAATGGACTAATAACAACTAAAATAGAGATGGCACGATGACAAACAAAATGGACCGACGCAAACATCGAAAGACACCCTCATTAACGATAACGAACCACAAACACGATGCACGACAGACAAAACAAGTTGTATAACAAAGGTAAGATTGGGTCCAGCCTCCTTTGATGGTTGATGTTGGGGTGAATATAATTTTGAGATTGAAGTTTGACTGTAGTCCTGATTCAAATGAATTTTATGGGTGTTGCCCCCATTTCTGGGAGTCTTTGGGGCATAACAACCAAAAATTTCCCTGGGGGCTATGCCCCCAGGCCACCCGTCCTATCTCCCTTGACAGCGCCTTCACCCCCAACCAGGCGTCGTCGTTGGCTAAACAAGGATTCCCGATCTGTTTCAGCAGCAATCTTTGACATCCCGAAGGTGCCCTTTTTGCCGTTCCTGCCCCCGCCGCATCACGAAGCTTCCGGCGCCTCTGCCAATGCAATATTAAGGGTATAAAGCTTTTTCAGAAAAACTCCCATGGACATCAAAAGGTCAGTCATGAGGCTACGTTCCTACATCATCGATAGCGAGTTGGGCCGTTGGTGCATCGACGCAAATCGCTCAAGCTACCATAAATCACTAAAAGGGGTTACTAAGAGAAGTTACACAATAACCCCCAAATATGATTGTGATTGGGAGGGAATGGACAGGAAAAGCCTCTTTTCCCCACTAAGAGCCGATGCAACAGTCCTACCTAATAGCATCAAAAAAACGCCAAATAGCATAAAAGATGCCTAAAGGTATGAGAGGTTTTAACGATGCCGTAAATAAAACTCAACACGCAAAGCTATACCGAATAGACATTTTCATAAAGAAACAAAATGAGGGAGGGAGGGCTGGGAAAATAAAACATCCTATTTGTATTGTGGCTTCATTGAGCAAAGTGAGACCCACGCTATGTAATAATACGCCTATAAACCCAAAAACAAGGGATATAACACAGTAAAGTTTTATGGTCTTGACTTCTTTTGTCTCCTTCTCTCTCTGCGACTCTCGTCCTCTTTCATTCTTTTTATGTTATGACTTTCACAAACATTGTGAATTAGCTCTCTCCACTCTTGTCTGTTATCTACAACAGTCTTCCATAGATCAATACATGACCACATTTCAGAAAAACGCGAGGAAGCGTAACGAATAAGTAATAACAACAATCTCAAGCGAATTAGTTAGAGCGCAAAAGCCCCTCGTGAAATTAACTCTGATGAAATTTCATTTAATCATCATATAAAGTCTTTTATATCCCACATCCATACTATACTCAGGAGCGTCGTGGGTAGTGACTCTTAGGGGATGGCACAACTTGTAAATTGTCCGACAAGGGGTTAAAATTAAAATTATGACGTCATCAAGCGCATGCGCAGTTTTTAAATGCAGAAATAGATGACAAACAATATGTATCTTTTCTAGCATCACTTTTACTGATTTCAATAAGCTGATTAGAGAAAAACCAGCATCCATGTTTGAACATTGGATAATCATAGTCATTAGTAATCAGTAGCTGTGATGAACAGGAAAACTTGCAATAGGACTGATATCTTAAGAATCTTAAGAAGCAAACTGCACGATTTTCAGTGCATGAGAGTCTCCTACCTGCCGATTGCTTCATCATAACTGAGTGTAAAATAAGTCAAGCTCAACAATGATTTAACCTCTCTTGGCCAATTGTTGATCGCAGCCTGTTTTTTACACACTTGAGCTTCAAAATTGTGCACATGACATATTAACACGACATAGACCAGGAACAATAACGGCCCCAGTATTGACCCTTGAATAAGCCAGCTGCAGATGGTGGTGGAGCTGGAGTTTGGTATCAAATGATCCTTTCATGCCCTGCTAAGCCCAGCGATATTATCACTATAAACTGTTGAAAACATATAGGCGTACAGGCGCGCAACCAGAAATTTCAGAGGGCAGGGGTCCAAGACACAAAAAGGGCACTAATTAAACTTCATTAAAGGTCCACCGGGGCATTTGTTTAGGTACACCGAAAATATGAGCAGTTAGTAAATCTGTAAATATTGTACGCCAGACAAGGGAAACTGATCAATAGAGAAAAGTTGTGGTGTACGGTTTATTTTGTGGTGAGGTGTGATGAAGTTTAGGAGGCCCGAAGGAGGGGGAAATGGAAAAAACAATGCCTCTTGCGAGCGAAGCGAGCAAAAATTTTGCCACCACACCCTTGCAAATAGCTTAAATTCACTAATTCGTTTAAGATGTTTTACTTTTCAATTGTAATTTTGTTACTTTTAATAAATTCCATTTAAAAACGGAATTCATTGCTTTGTGAGGCTCCCTAGACCTCGAGGCCCTAGGGCAATTTGCCCCTTTGTCCCCCTCTCGGCGACCCTGCTGTCATCTCCTTTTCCCAGCGCCAGCTCACTTTTGAATAGCAGCCCATCATCTTCCATATCCGAAGACATTTTGCGCTTTAAAATATTATTATTGAATTCTTTGCTTCGCACTACAGATTGGAGGAGGTTGAACAGTTCCACGAGCCTTGCCTTCAGCTTGTTTCTGTCTCCAAGTCTTGCCTTGAGCTGATTTGTAATACTGACAAGGAACGGAACAGCTGAACATCAACTTTTTGTGTCATATTTACTGCTTGCTAATACCCAGGCACGTAAATAATAGGGGGGCGTGGGGGGCGTAACGCCCCCCCAAAGTTTGGAAAATCCAGTTACAGTTGGAAAACGTAACGGTTGACTTGGAATTTTTTTCTTAAGACCAAACTTGTGAATTTTATATTTTAAGAAGTTTTTTTATTTTAATTTATAAAAATTCTAAACATTAAAATTCACAGGCTGAAGCTGATCCATCCAATCGTTTTCTATTGTGAATCCCGTCTCCACTGGGTCCAAATTGCACACTTGCCCCGTTTTCTTTTTCTTTCTTTCTGACGGGAGTTGAATCAAATTACGAACAGGCAAGGTGAACTTACGGATAAGAAACTTGAAACTTACAGTTTGGAATAATAATACCGGCATTGATCAGAAAATATTAGAGTGGGAATTTTTTTAGAAACTACGAGTAGTTAATTCAATAAAAGATTAAGAATCTTTCAGTACTAAAAATTCTCAACGCTTCTTATAAAAAACGAGTTTATGCTAAACTCCCCTGTTATTTGTTAATGTCCTTGAGTCCTTATCATAAATTCCTATGACAAAACTGCTGTGGAGCAAGAACACATTGCAAAAACTGCAGTAGAAGTATTTGATCAAAGAAGAGTATTTCATCTTTCGAATCAGGCATATGCACAAGTTTGTTCTCAAATCATCATTTCAATTGTAAAGAATGAAAAGGCATTTGGCCCTCTGAAAAGTTTAAAGGCCCAAATTCTTGGTGCTTCTATATCGTGAAAAAATGTATTTTAGATAAAATTGATCAATTGATCTGAAAGAATACTACTAATCATTAAGTATATCTAATACTGGTTTTGCTTAAATGTTGCTTTACTTCTTACAGTATGTTTAATGTTTGTTTCATGTTAATCAAAATTTAGAGATTTAGGCTTTTATGCTTTAGGCTAATTATTGAGTAAAGATTTGGTAATTATAAAGAAAATAGAACTATGGTGTTTGGGCTATTTACAAATATCAATTTGGTAGGTACAACAGATCTACTGGTCGAATAAAAAATTTATCACTTAAAGTTGGAATTTTCATACTTCCACGCCCCCCCAAAATTAGCAACTTGTTTTCGTCCCTGCTAATACCAGTCCGAAAATATTTCCCTGCATTCGCTCGTTTCATGCAAAGGTCTTCTATGACCCTGTCAACTATGTGACAGGCTTGAAAAATGTCTTGGTTTTTATTCTTGTAACTTTTTACCAGAGGTCGTAGAGGCTCTATCCCGTTCAAAATCCTGTGCCTTTATTTTGGTTTTTGAGTCCCAGAACCATTCTTCTTCAAAGCCAGTGCGTAGCGCATCATAAAACACGCTGTAGAGTTGGGGCTTGAAGATATACTCTATTACTGCAACATGATGACGTTCGACCCAACAAGTGCGCGAAAGTTCGACTAAATCATTTATCTGTATTCCTGCGAGGTCCATTACATCTCCGTAGTGTGTCATTTACTGTATGACCAACCATTTTAGCGTAATAGTTAAAATATTCAAGCAATTTTCCAGGAAAAAGGGCACTTTTACCCTTTTGAGAAAAAGGGCAGGGGTCTGGACCCCCAGGACCCCCCCCGTAGTTGCGCCCCTGGCGTATGATACATTGCTGTTCCAGCCATCCTAATCAGGCAAAAAAGTCGCATTTAGGGCTCCTTTCGGGCAGTTCTATCTCAATAAAGCAATAATATTTGGGCAAGCCCCCTAAACATTTAGCATCTACGTTTAGAATTAGACCGTTTATATACCTTTCATTAAAGGCTCAACTTCTAAATCTATTTCACGCATTTTAATTCTTTTTGAGAGGATGAGGGTAGGGAGTGAAAGACATTAGCAATTATAAATTAGTTATGAAACATCTTATGACTGGTAACATTTTCATACTATTTCAATTTTATCGCACCAACTGAGCTTTCAGATAGTTCGTGAGTGTTTATGATACAGCCACGTAGCTGTATATATCGGCTGGGGTGGGCAAATTCGAGCAACAATCATACGTCGAGGGGGCAGGCTTTTAACTAAGAAAGAAATTCACAACAGTGAATGGCGCGTTTATCTGGAAAATATCAAGCTTACAGCTATGAGTTAAGAACAGAACACGTCAACTACAAAACTTCAAAACAAATTCCGAGGTTTCTGTTGCCACTCAACTGAAATTTCATCGAGAGATATCTTACGAGTTAGGATTTTTTCAAGGAAAATGTGAGCCAAAGCCCGCTGACAGAAAGGTGTGCTACGTCGCCTTCTTGGTGCATCAATATACGTCATGGACGAAATAACTTTGTGGACAAAATTTTCATTTGGAGGGGCACATACCCCACTCCCATGTCCCCTACAGCTTCGTGGCTGCTTTGATAACTTGTAAAGCCGTTTTCTAGAAAAATGAAATGGCAAGAAACTAAAGCATCTTAATGAGAAAAATGTTCTTTGTTATTCGCATACAATGTCTTAGTGGGCATTTGGACCGGGCAAATAGGAAAAGTAAGCTGTTGCAGGAATAGCGACCGTGTGAAAGGACCTTTAAAATGTAATAACATAAGTTACCACACCCAGATCATGTCTTTCTTTGATAAATTTTTAATAGAGGATTTCTTTGACTGGCAAGATGTTTTCAGAAAGGACTAACACTTTGGACTCTCACGCAAATAAGATGAAAACGGTGGGTTTCCAAAGAATAAAAACTTCAAATAAAAATTCAGGTTGAGTAATACTCTAAAATGATTTCTTGAAAATAGAATTTTGACCTGGTAAAAAATTTTATATTCAAATAAGAAAAATTTGTGAAATCATGCGATAAAAACAACAAAGTTATGTTTTTGTGTTTTTGTGGATACCTTTTATACAAAATACGAGCCTAAAGATTTGTCTGAAGAAGAATCACAACCTAAAGAAGCGCTCAAAATGTTAGGATCCTCTGCAAGTACACAAGGTTTTCTTCTAAAGAACCAATTGATTCTATATTATTACAAAACACATGATTATCTCTAGATTAAATTTTACAGTGTTAATAACCAAGGAACAGAACCTATCTTTCCACTGAAATTTGAATAGTTTCTTTTTCTTGCATTTCCATCTTTGTTGCCAATTTTAATTTCATTCTTGAAATATATTCTAAGAATGCGGCAGATCTTGCTTTTCCATTAAATCTTCTATATTCAGGTCATACTTCAGTCCAAAACACCTTGAAAAATACAATGAACTTTCTTCTAAAAAAAAGGCAAACTTCATTTCTACTTTCACATTTCATCCTGATATTAGATAACATTATCTCATTTACTTGTCAATTTTACCACTTTTATTTAAAAGATAGGATATATTATATCTTCATACAATTGATACTTTGAGTTGACACAAACATTTTACAAGATAAAAATTCTTATTTATTTATTTATTTATCTATTTATTTATTTATTTGTTTGTAGCAAGGCAAATATTTTTACAACTTGGCTACAACATCAAACTCTGAAACAGCTCTAGAAAACAGAAACTGGAAAAGTTGCTGCTAGCATGAAAATAACAATTAGACCTAAAGAAAATATCCCAGGGAAAATTGAAAACAAGCTGACAAAAATAGGATTTTAAGATATTCATTCAAACTGCTCAAAAAGCCAAGATAGAGATCAAATATAGTGCAGCTAAATTTTACAAAAACTTTTTGTACAGGAAAAATTTGAAAATGTACATCTGTGAAAAGATTTTGTCCCAAGAAAAATAGCATGGTAACAAGAACGTGATTCAAAAAAGAAGAAAATTCACATTTTGAAAAAATTCTACAAAGTAAAAGTTGGTAAAAAGCTAAGATTTTTTAATCAAAGTTTCTAAAATCAATTTATCGGTTCAGAATACCAGTTTTGTTATTTTTTAATTTGGCAATAAGCAAACAAATAATCTTGCTCAAAATACCACTTGCATGAACAACAAAACACTTAAACATGCAAGAGAAACAAATGAGACCTAGTAATAAGTCTAAAAATTTCCCTAAAACTATATTGAAAACAACAATGACAGCTGACTGGCAATGAAAAAAGAAGTTAACACACCTTCTAAGAATGCCATAGAATCTATGTCAAGGACAACAGTATCTGCAAAGTTTGGACAAAACAAAATAATTGCCAATTCACATCTTATAGTTTAAGGAAAATTTAAATGTAAACAAAAAAATTGATAATTCTACTCTCTAACTTGATAAGAAGAAAAATGAAATAAAAAAATTCTTGTGAAAACTTGAAAAATATGTAATATCTTAAATTTGAAAATAAAAAAGGATGGAACGAACACAATTAAAAGTCTGTTTGACTGACAGATAAATATCTGTAGTGAAGTAGATTTGAAAAAAAATACTTACCAAGGTCTCTCTTTTGTATTGTTTTTCTTTTGGATTGGACACACTTTTGATGGGCTTCCTTTGCAATAAATTGGATGAATAATTCCTACAGATAATTGAAGGGAGATTTTCTTACTTGATGTATAATCTAGAACCAGACTGATGTTTACATGAGTTGGCTGGGAAACTCGGCTAACTGGGAAACTCGCCTCCATGTTAACAGGCCTTTAACCAACAACAAATTTTGTATGTGTGTGTCATTCCTCAATTAAGAACGAAGTAAAATGAAATATCACACAGCAACTTGTAGTTCATAACACAATTCTTCTAATTTAGTCTCACTGTAAATACCTTTTCTTTCATTTATCCCCGTCCCCTTTAATATTCCCACCTCTTTAATAAACCCATCTACTTTCGGTACTTCAAAAAAAATTTATTAGCTTTCCTCTTCTATGCTCAATCCACATGGGATGCTTGTGTGTGTGTGTATGTGTGTGTATGTGTGTGTGTGTGTGGGGGGGGGGGGTGGCAATTTTAGCAACATATTTTTGAAGAGGGGTGTATCTCTCGGAAAACTAACATGCTGCCATTCCAGATTCATTCAGGCCACAGATGCTTGTTGGAACAATCCTTTTAAAAAAGTTATGCTTTTGTTCATACTATGGCTCGAGTCTGGAAAACAAGAAATTATGAAAGCAGGAAATCCTAAGTTTAAACTTTTATGGCCAATTAGTGGTTGGATTGTGAAAATTTACAACAGCATTTGGTGCGACATTATTAGAAATTCTAAAGCCTGGACGAAAATATTTCAATATTTCTTACAATAACCCCACTTCTATAATACCCATGACTCTCTTATGATCCCACCTTTAATTTCAAAGTTGAATTACTTCTGAAATCCACCCTTTTGGAATGTTTGGATCTTGTTTTTTGGGTCATTTGCCCCAACACATCAGATCCACGTGGGCAATTACCCCTACGCATTTCTCTGTTGTAAATAATTTTATACGGGTGCAATCAGTAATTTAAAATAGAAACATATTTCAATATGACTTACAGCAGCTTTTGTTACGAGAAAAACGGAATCTTGACTCGCAATATGAAGATCACTATCGAGTTTCATCATGTTTCGAACCCTCGTATGCGGCAGTTGTGCGAGGCGAGAATTGCTTTGCTTTTCTTCTCCATCAGCTTGAGCTACACTGTCGTCAGGTGGCGATTGGGTTAGGTCAATGTCCCCATTTTCTGCCTCCATTTCTTCATATCCTATTTCTATCGAGGAAGCCGCCATGACAGATTTCCCGCCAAATAACCTCGTTTGTGTCGACTATGATCTCATTTCAAATAAAAAATTAAGAATTTAGTTATTTGTTATCTGTAGCCTTTTAAGCTTCCGAACGAAACGCCTTCTGTGAAATTGAGGGCAGAAATTATTCAACTTTCATATTCACTTGACTTTACTGACATTCCTAAAAAAATTTGAATATATTTTTAAGTACCCCTTAAATACCAATCTTTCCTGTAGCTGGCCCGAAACTTATGGGCCTCCAATATGAAAAATAACCTTAAATTAGGATTTAGAAATCTACATAATTTTCCACAGAATTACGTTCAGATTGTAACATTACATGCTTCAGCCTAGGTTATGTGTTGCTTTGTATATACTAACCTCAAAGATGCGTGACCACAAAGCTAGAAATAAACTCTTCACTGTGGGAAAGGAATGTTTGTATCGTTAAAGATTTTCGACTTTTATGAAACTTGGAAGTCAAAACATGTAAACTATAATTTACTTAACACTTTAAACTCTAAAGGGAAACGAACCATCAGCGGTCTTCATCATTCTTTTTCGATGTTCGATATTACGTTGCAAAGGACACGCCAAATAAAATATGAAGATGAACGAATTATTTATGGAGGGGGGGGGCTCTATTGTTTGAAAATAATATAAAATTCAAAACAGGAAATAAAAAAAAAGATAAAGAGGCATCACTACCATCTGGTTACAGCCTCAAACTCGGATGGGAGGAGATTGACAGAAGGTTCTCGAAGGATAGAGATCTGTATCAGAATTTAGCAGTGCTAGAGCCAAGAAGATTTGCTGACAGCATAGCGGTCAAATTTTGCTGATACAAAGATGAAGCAGAAGAGCAAAAAGAGCCTTCTTTTCGATATTTCTCGTCTAGCGAATGTCGTATTTGAAGTGCTCTTTGCAAATTGCAAATTAGTGCAAATGGAGATCCAGAAAAAAGAACATGATTTAAAGGAACAAGCTCTTGGAGAAGAAACATATGGAGAAGAAAACTGTGACTTTCAAGGTGGGGATTTGCAAAGAGATAAAGGACCCCAAAGTCGACATCGACACCCTGTATCAAAAGGGGAGAAGCTTGCCAACTGTGCATACCCTGTGCATTCAACTTTGTACCGACGCTCTTTTTATTTGTAAAAACAATTTTATAAGAATACGAGCATCAAAATTGGTCAAAAGTCGAGAACAAATTAAGAACAAGCTGAGGCTGAGCTACTGTTAAATGCAATTTTGAACAACATTTTATCCCAAAAACAAGGATTTTTAGCCATGTGTGGGTGCTTTTTGGTAAATATTCAATCTTGTCGTCGAATGAAGGTTGTCACACTTATTTTGTTGGCAAATGATGCTGAAAATCTCCCTAGGGCGAAAAAGCTAGCAATCGCACTGCTTACACCTTATTTATTTGTTATTATTAATTTGGAATTGTTATCAATTTGGAAACAAATTAAGAACAATCCAGCCTCAGATTTTTGCAAAAATTAAGAACAGTCAGCCTGAACCTAAATTTATTGGTTCTTATAAAAAAAGAGTGAATACAACATGCAGCATACCCTTTCCTCCACAATGCGTAGAAATGTGTGATGATACTTAGCTGCACCCAAGTTCCCTGTTAAAAATTATTCAGCTAGCTTGATATTGTTAAGAAAAGGCTGCGCTCCATTATCAGTCAACCAATTGCTACTGCTATTGATAATTTCAAGCAAAGAGAAAACTTTCCACTTGATTACGAGCAGGTCACTGACCAGTTTGCTGACTCATCTGCACCTCTTCGAAAGGAGCTCAAAATATGAGAGTATAAATACATTCTGATCATAATTCGTCACTCTACATGAGATTAAAACCCTGTTTACACGCGAGGAAAGGTCTGGATCCAATTGGGTTTGAATTTACAAATTAGAATCGATATACTGCTTCTGTTTAGCACATTGTTCTATTATCAATTTTTATCAAATTACCCGTATTTTAAGGCTACATTTTTAGTGGATGTGGTTCAATTTTTTCCGCCATGCCCTAAACCGGGCCCTTTGAATTTGCTAGCCACCCTTCAATTTTGAAGCCAGCCGCCCCTGCCCTTTTGTGAGGTTTGCATGCTGTATGTTCGTGAAAGCTCCCGTTTAAAAGGACGTCTGGATTGTAAGGAAGAGGCCAGTAGAAAGTCAGAAACGTGGGATGAAATGGAAGTTTGGAAGCTGGTTGCATGTGCTGGTTGCATGTGCCTGTTGCCCCTTGTACTTCAGCAGAAAAGTCGATGAATCTGATTTCAAAGAAGAAAGTAGACCTACAGATTTCTACTTATCGATGCATTAGATGGCAACAGATAATGTTAACACTAGGTACATGCAAAGTTAAAACTAGATTAGAAAAATTGGGAGCTTAAGCTAATTGGTCCAAAGACGTTGCAATCCTTTTAAGGCAATTTGTCAGCAAACACGAATAATTATAAAAAATTGAGACGACTTGTCTTGGAACAAGTACTAATACGTTTATTGCCATAACATTGGGTAAGTTGGTATGGACACTCGAAGCATAAAATTGAGACTTCAGTTCTTGTACCTAAATCAATATGTAACATGAAAAATAAACAAATAATTTTTATTCCATAGACAACAATGTGAAACTGTTATGTCAAACTGTACACTTGACTTCTTCAAGTTCACATAGCAATTACAATAAACATCACTTTTAGCCACGCCAAATGTTGCTTAACAAGTTGTGATACTGTTAAGCGGATTGTGACTGTAAATGAATCTAAATATTTGGATCTGAAGTGTATTGGACTGTATATCTTTTATTTACCTACCAGATTTGTGCAATTATCGCCCCTTTCAGAAAATACTTGCTTCTGTCCTTTCTTATTTATAAACAGATCGATCGACAGGAGATTTCCATTACTTTGAGAATAGATTTATTGAGCTTGATGATAATTAAACATCAAGTTAATCACTAAGCAAGAAAAGACACCAAGCAAAGAACAAAAAGGGTTCCCATTCAAGAAGAACTGCTATTACTTTGGATCCGTTAGAGTTAACTGTCCAAAGAAGAATAAACTTTCCAACAAATTTGTAACCTTTTATTGCAAAAAGATTGGGGACGGCTATAGCCCCTGTTAGCCCAATGGCTGTGCGGTGCCTGCATGTTGCGGGCAGTGAATAGGAAAACATTTTACACACAGCCAACGAGAATATGAAATCTCACAGTAGTATCATGTGACGGCGTGGTGAAGGGAATTTCCTAGAATTTAACGACGTCATCGGGGGATTACAATAAAGTTAACAAGGGACATGAAACTTTTGTGGCTGGTTTAACCACATGTTTCAGAACTGTTGCGAAATCGTACCATAAATTGGTTGCTATAGTTGTTGTTTCTAAATGAAGGGTCATGTGGTTCTTATGCATGTATTCAAAGCTTTTTCGATCTTTTGTAATTTTGGTTTGTAACCGGGAGCTGGTACTGCATATATAAATAAATCAAAAGAAAAAGAGGTTCATTAAAAATGAGTTTGGATGACATGAAGGACGTGTACACTTCTTTTGGTTAACCCAGTGGCATAAACAGGGGCGTTGTGGCTAGACGGGACACCCAGAGATTTTAAGTGTGTTTGTAAAACCCAGGTAATATCCTATGTGAACAAAACCCTTGGTGAAAAAATCCCTCATTTACATGTAGACCATATGTAGACTCATTTACAATTGGTATGAAAAGTGATCCGATACGTCCCGTACTACATTCCATCTCGTGTAAGCTTTCACTCCGGAACCTCGTTCTGAATCTCAAGGAAAGTTCTCATCAACGGATTCTACATCTTTACTCTTCGAGCTAGTCATAGCATAGCCGAGTAATTTATGGTAGGTGTTTTAGACGCAATTGAGGGGCAAAACACTTGAAAAACAATTGCACAAATCTTGAAGGGTTTTTCCAGAAGCGGCACACAGGGGCAACCTGTCCCCCTATTCCCTGGCAAGATCAATTTTGTATTTCGTGTAAATTCAATGAAATAATGTTAGGGAAGGGGCAATATTTGGCAACATATTTTTTGCGATATAATCATTTAATTTTGAAACCGATTTACGTAATAAAATGTTAGTCACGTGCGATCCCTATTGGTGCAATTGGCATTCCCGGCTGGAAAAGGGTCAGTTCCTGACAGTAAAAAGGGCGTGACAGTATTTTTGCTTTGTCCGCCATTTCCCCCCTTCCCTGAGCCACTGACTGGCACTGCCACTGGTTTTTTCAGCTTCTTTGGTAGGAACTTAGAGGGAGTCATTGATACTTATCATATTTCACTCCTTTGAGAGAGAACGACACTGATCTCCCACACAAGTCGTTTTGCTCAATTTTGTTCGGGAGTGGGGTCAAGTCGCCCACCCCATCCCGCCGGTTTAATTTGCCGAATGATATCAATTTAAATATATGCTTCTAGTTTAGAACATTGAGGATATAGAAAAACCACGGAAAAAGATCTACAAAGAACTTCCTTGACACATGTCTTTTGTCGTTTTAGGGATATTTTGTGATTAAACGAGTCCTTCGATTCTCTCCGATTGCCTACCCCTCTGTTGGAAAGTCAAGCCCCTCTGTCGGAGAATTTCTAGCGCCGCCACTGACAACTTATGGAGAATTGGGCTACGAGTAGAGATTTCGGGAATAACCTCCTCCAAATTTCACTTGCAGCCAGTTAATTCCAGCGAAGAGGGAAATCCCCTCAGACGGGGACTTTGGACTTTGTCTATAAAATGCCATTCACATTTACTATCATTCAGAAGGAAGATGGACCAACTTCAAGAATTAAGAGAGAGGGCAATAGCATTCGCAAATTCAGCTTACAATCTTATGAAAGAGTATGACAAAACATATCAAGCTGCATCTCACGTTGGGGCAATCGTATTTGACAATCTACGACCAGTCTACAGAAATATCGATCGTCAGCTGTTGAGAGCATCCACGAGGAACAAAAAACTTGTTTGCATCATTGACAACTTTCAAGATCAAATACTTACACTGAAAGATTTCATGTGTAAAATTTACGATGAGTCTCAGGGTTTGCAGCAAGACGATTTGAAAAGATCAATTGGCCATGTGATTGGCAATTTGTCATCTTCACTTAATATTGTTGCCTTAATCAGACACAAACTTGGTGATCAAAGGCTCCCAGTGTCCTGGTACGATAAAGAAGGACAACTTGAAACTGTGATGACAGAGCGAGTAGCTGACTACCTTCCAGCAGGTACGTCAAGAGAACTGGTTTATACAGTCCGTAATTACGCCATATCGCATGAAGTGATAATTTGTGCGGAGATGATGTTTCAATACTTCCAACGTTTATGAAGTCATGGCAGCTTCTAAA